TTATGGGACTCTAGCAGGTTTTCTCCACAGGGAAGCTGCAAAGTGGCCTTCGAAGGTCATCCAGGAGATTTGGACAAAGCAGACAGTTGGGGTGGACTGCTTGCAACATTGTTTTCACTGAGAACTTGGAAACATCCTAAATGCCTAAACAGTATGGGATTGGCTAGGAAAATAATGAAGCTCCCACATAATAAATACAGTGCAGCTATTATATAACTACAATGTAGAAAAATAATTACCAGGGTAAATGTTCATTATATACTGGCAAGTAAAAAACGTTAGTGCTCCAACAATATGTGCAGTATGATTCCTCTGGGGCAAATACACATTCACGTGCATGCGTGCGCGCGCGCGCGCGCGCACACACACACACACACACACACACACACACACACACACCCAGAAGGACACAACCCCCAAAATGTTAGCATGTTAACACTAGTTATCTTTATATGGTGGAATTATTAGGGATTTTTATTGTTCTCTCTGCATCTTACAAGTTTTCTGCATTGAGTATACATGAATATTGGAATTTTAAAATATAATTCGATCTACCCCTTGCCCTGACTCAACACACGCTCAGGCTCCATGGGTCTAGTGAAGCTTCCACGGGAGGAGGAGGGGCATTTTCAAAGCAAACTGGAGGGGGTTCTGGTGTCCTTGGGATAGGAGATGAGACAGTGGGGGCATCTGGAGTGATCTGGAAAGCAAAGGGTTGGCCCTGCAGGAGGTCTTTATATGTTATGGGAGAAACAGGGTGGCAACATAGCCAGTGAGTAGCCCAAGGTGGCCTAGCAGTGAGAAATAATCTCCTGACTGTTGGAATTCCAGAGCTAGATGGAAGCCAGGAACTCACTGGTGCCCATTTCCTCATTCCGACTTCCACACCATCTGCTCATGCTCTCCTGGCATTCGGTGCCTCGATCCAGGAGTTCCTGTCGGGGTCGGGGCTGCAGTGTGCTCATCTGTGCCTCCCTGGATTTAGCACAGGGCCTGGCTGACCCACTGTAGGATGGGCGGACGGATTAGAGGTGCTCTCCCCATTTCCCATCTCCACCTGCTGTCTTTCCACCTCTCTGCAGGCTCAGATCCTCTTCTTCCAGTGAGCCCTTGCTGAGTCCTCCAGGTAACCTCCATCACACATTTGAACAGAGTCTGTCCAGTACCTAGATTATGGGACTCTAGCAGGTTTTCTCCGTCAGTGCATAAACCTTACAGGCAAGGTCAATGCCCTGGTTAAAGCTGGTTCTCCAGGGCACCCCACAGCACAGGGCTTGGCACCAAAGAGGCACTCAGCCAATCTTATCAAAGAAGAGAAAGGATGCACTCTTCTCTCCCTGAGGCCTTTCTGGCTCATGGTTAGTGAGTGGGGAGCACTGTGGGGTAGGGGGCACAGTTCTCTCCTGCTAAGAGAGGAAGCTTCCATGGCCTCACACTTGTCTGCACCCGACCCCACTTGCTGGCTCTTTTTACTTGCTCCCAGTCATGGTCACGATGGGACTGGAGAGGGATGGTGACTCAGCCCAATTCATCACCACAATGGAAAAACCCAGTCACCTGTCCTCCTGGCAATGGGACCAGAGCTGCCTTTGCATCTGGAAGGGCAGCAAGGCACTGTTTTCAAGGTCCTTTTGTCTTTTGCCTGCTGAAAAATAAAAGACTGAAAGATTAGGAGCATCACAGGTTGACACTGTAGATTTGCAGTGTGGGATCAATCTCAGCAACCAGAGATCACATGTTCCCTCCATGCCAGGCTCCACGTTAAGTGCCCATGTATGTCATCTCATAGGGTTTCACGGCAAGTCCTCTGGTAGCACTAGGCCCTGGTCATTCTCTTAGCCACCAGCATCTGACACACACTCCTCTGAGGTACAGCCCACCTTCCCCTGGAGCATCTGAGAACACCTTTTCCCAGCCTCCCTTGCAGCTTTGACAGTACCAGACCTGGGCACTTCCAATCAGACAGCTCACTCTTGACTGTGAATTAGAAACCCGATACGAGGAAGCCAAGACCGTGAGACTGCATCCTGGCAAGGACGCAGCAGCTTCACCTCGGGCTTCAGAGGCGGCCAGTCCTGATGGCTGTGACCCACATCCTTGCTGAGCGGCAGCACCGCTGCAGCGTCTGTGCCTGAGGATGACAGTGGTGGTTCTGACACCAGACCAGGGCTCCAGGGTTGGGCCTGACTCCTGAGATCCCAAGGGCTGCTCATCCTCCTTTTAAAAACGCCCTCTTCTGCTTAAACTAGCCAGAGTAGGTCTCTATTTACTGCAACTACCCACACTGACAGATTAGCTTGAATTTCGAGATAGGAAATTTCGAGAAGGCTCAAAGAGACCATCAGAAAGGCTGTGTCTTGTCTCCAGCCAAGGTGCAGGCAGGGCTCTCGCCCATCTGACAAATGCGAAGGGAAAGTTCAGAGAAGGCAGTGGCTTGGGTGGCACCTTTTAGATAATTAGGAGCAAGGCTGTGGGACACGTCTTAGGGGACCCCAGTCCCAGCCAACAGCATGGCCCATCCATACCAGGAGGTGTTCTCACAATTACGTTTCTTCATTTACTAAGTCTCCACTTTTATAGAGTTTCAAACCTAACCCACCTGAACACTCACTGGGGCTCGTGTATTATCTGAGCCAGGTGGATTATCGACATTAAAGGTCATTACAGACACCATTCTGTTCACATATAGAGGCGGCACACTGTCAATGCTTTCATGAGGCAGCCTTACATCTCCAGGGCCTGCATTCCTCCAAGGAATTCAGAACAGGCCGAGCCTTGTGAATTATGTTACTAAAACCTCAACATTAGTTTTGTTCGATAACTAGGTCTGAAATTACTGAAAAGGGTAGAACTCAGGGAAACCCGAACCTCTAATGCAATAACAATTTCATCATCAATATCAACTATTTATTGAACACGTAAGCCATGTGTCTGGCACTATATTGAGCATTTTCTTTATGTTTCATGATTTATTTCTTACAATAGCTCTGAGATCATGATCATACCAGTTTCACAGACTATAACACAGAGGCTCAGAGTGGGTAACTTGCTGGACATCACACAGCCAGGGAATTGTAAAACCCACCTGTGCTCTGAGGGATTGGCTCCAGACTTGTATAGTCTCCTGGATATAGAGGTTCAGAGCTCTGTCACTACTGACCACCCCCATCCCTTTTACAAAGGAGGAAACTGAGAGGTGTTGAGTTCCCCACAGTGAGCCCGGGAGTTATAAGGAGAACCCAAGACCACTGCCTCCTATTCGGTTTAAATACTGCACCCCAGCCAGGAATGTGTACCCCTTCAAGGGCCACCAAATCTTACCAGCTTCCCCAGTCAGTCAGTTCAGTGTCACAGCGGTTTCTACCCATCCTGGAGCTGAGGGAAAGCAGAAACCTTACCGCAGATAAGCTCAGATGAAGACTGATGAAGGGGGAGGAGGCTCTGTACGATTTTCTTGACCTCCCATCCCATCCCATCCCGCTGCCATCCCGGATCTCTCAGATGACCTGGTCCAACACATTCACTCTGCACGGAAAAGGCTGGAATCAGGGAGGGGCACAGCCCCGCCCAAGGTCACTGGCAGAGCCTCAATAGTGAGGTCTCCAGGCCCCCATTCTGAGCTGTCTGGCCAAAGTAAATGTTTTCAGTCAGATTTCCATTCCCCTTACAGTAGGACTTCATCTAGTCTAGGGGCTTTGGCACTCCTTCTTTTGCGGTGACAGGTGAGAGCGACGTCACTGGGCCAGACCAGAGTGAGCCTGAGGAAGACGGGGTGTCCCAGCTCCCTTTGGCTAAAACAATGGAGGGTGAATTGAGTGGAGCAGGACCTTGCCACTTGCTATTCCAGGTGGGACCCTGAGGGCCCAGAACACCTGTGCCGGAGACGGTCACTCCCAAGGAAATCCTCCAGCTCGGAAAACGGGGGACGATGCCCCAAGGACCCCTGAGCACCTGGTTTTTCCCGACCCCTAGAGCTTTTCCCCAGCGGTTCCCAGGCAGCGGCGGGTGGGGCCCAGCGGCAGGAGCGGGGAAGGGCTGGGGTTCCTCTCGGGAACCTAAACAAAGACTGAGGCACGCCGCCCCCTCCGCCGGGAAACGGATGCCACGCAGCTACAAGGAGACCAGTGGCGGGTGGGGCCTGCCACCGCAGCCGGGGGAGTCCGAGCGGAGGGGACCCTTCCTCCCCGCGCCTGCGGGACGTGAGAAACGTGCGGATCGACCCGGGTCTCCGCTGGGCTCGGGCGCTGCGGCGTCCTGCTCGCTCCGCCTACCCATCCACCCACCCACCCGGCTGTGGCAGGAGGCGGAAGCCGAGGGCCCTGGGCGGCCTCCGCGGTAGGGCCACCCGGCCTGCCCACCCGCTACGTGGGCACGACCCGCGGGGCGCCGCCCCCAGCCCGGCCTCCGCCCCCCACAGCGCGGCGCGCTCGAGGGGCTCCCGGCCGCCCGCACCTCCACCTGCGCGTGGCGGCGGCGGCGGCGCCGAGGCCCAGCTTCCCGCCTGCGCGTCTGTGTCGCTCCCATCACCCTCGGTGAGTCGGTGGCGCCCACGGTCCTTCGCCGCCTGTGCCCTATCCTCGCGGCTGCCTCTCCGCGCACGACCCCATACTTGCACGCCGGACGCCTTCTCGCCGGGGCCACATTGAGCCTGCGAGGGTGGCACCCCTCTTCCCCCAGCGCACCCCCCCCAACCCTCGCTCCTCGCCTTCCCGGCCAGACACGTGAACCCTCAGGACCAGGCCCCGCCGCCTCCGGCTCCTCCCGCACCGCGACACCCGGGGGTGGCGGGGCCTTTGTTCAGGCGAGGGGGCGCCGAGGCCCCCTTCCGGCGCCTCCCGGGGTGTCACCGGCCCCCACCCGGCGCGCTCCCTCCGCCTCCCGGAGTTCACCCCGACCAGGTGGCGGTGGGCGCCATTTACGGGTGCGCGGTCCTGCAATTGGTGGATTTTTTTAAACTGTTTTGAACGGGGGAGCGCGGCGTTGGCGGCGGCGATAGCGCTCCGGGCTCCCGGCTGCTCCTGCTTCGCTCCTCGCTCTCCTGCCGCCTGTCCTCGCCCGCCGCGCTCCTCTCCTGGGCTCGGCCGAGCGCGCTCCCCCGACGCCGCAGCCCCGCGCCAGACACTGCGATGAAGGTGCTGGGACACAGGATCGAACTGCTGACAGGTACCGCCGGCCCTGCCCCGTGGCCGCCGCCCGGCGCGCTTGCATCGCCCGCCACTTTCCGAATTGGAGCGGCAGCCTGGCGCGGTGGCCGGGGCTCAGGGAGGCTCGGGTTCAAGCAGGAGGAGAACGTGCGGGTGCCACCTCCTTTCGAGTTTGTGCGCTGCGGGTTCCTGTGCGGAGCCCGGCCCCGGGTGCGGACGTGGGGCCGTGCCCTGGCCGTCTCTACTGTCCGAGACCCGGGTGAGACCCGGGTGGCGGCGTCCAGGCACTGCAGCGCCAGAGGCGGGAGCGCAGGTCAGGGGGCTCCCTGGAATCTCCTGCTACCAGAGCTCGAGTTGGGTCTTGAAAAGTGAAAGCAAGCTCAGAGTCCCTATCCTCCAATCAGGGTTGCTCGTCCCCCAAGAAAGGAGCTCCCTGGGCTCCCGACAGGACCTCTGCCGTGAGCCTCTCATTTCCTGCTCTGTGACAGTCTGAGCGCCTCTCCCCTAGGAGAAGTTTCTTGCTGGGAGTAGAGGCCAAGTGGCCTGGGGAAGAAGCCAGGTTGGACCCTGCTGACTGGGGTCTCTCTGAAGAAGTGGCAGATACCCTGCTGGAAACCACATCCAGCGTCCTGTGGCTGGAGCTCACCAGAGGCCGCCAGGTGATGCCCAGGAAGGGAAGCAGGAAAGTGCAAGGATAGGAGGCCGGGAGCTCTGAAGGGCAGGGGAGCTCTCCCAGGTGTGACGGGCAAATTGCACAGGTGGCCACTGTGGTCACCCAGAGTAGAAGTTGTGGAAAGACCCAGTCAGGAGGAAGCCTGGGCCATAGAGGCCAATCAGTGTATACTGGATGGACACATGGGATCCAGTAAGTGTCTGCTGGCAACTGGGGTGGTTTGGTCCCTGACCTCAGGGACCTTGTGGTCCAGGCCAAGAGAGCAGAGCACAGGAGCCCTGGTACAAGACAGGGAGAGAGGCAGCAGTGTGGGAGTACCCTCAGGAAACAGGCTGGAGTCGTCCGGAGGTGAGAGGAAACCAGAGCGGTTTGCACACAGGGCAGCATTTGAACTGGACCCTAAAACTGTGTGTCTACTAATGGAGAGAGAGGGGGCATTAAAGGCTGAAGGACAGAGGGACCAGCATTTGCATAGGCCCTGGGGTGTGAGAGAGGCTTGAACTGGGAGTGAAGTGGGGGCTTGGGATGGGGGAACGAGGTCTGGCAAGGTTTCAGGCTGTGAGTGTGAGTTAAATCAGCAGTGGCTGCCATTTATTCGTCAGCTGTGGCAGGCTCATGGCGAAGGAAAGGTGGCGTCTGTTTCTGGAGCACTGGAAGCTCCTGCCAGGTGCTCAGAAGTACCAGATTTGAGCCCAGTTAGCCACAGGTCTGGGTCCGTCCAATGCTTTGCCAGCTTCTCTTTGTAGAGTTCACTTAAAGCAGGCTGCCCTACCTGACCTCAAAGGGAGCTGCCTAGGCCACTGACTTGTTAATCCCGGGAGGGAAAGTCTGTAGAGCCCACATGGGTGTTTCGATCCCCACGCGAAGGATGGAATTCCTAGGTCCTTCCCCTTCTCCCCCTGCCGCCCCAGAGGCAGGCCTGGTGTGTGGAGGGATGCTCCAGGGAGGCATGCCCAGGGCGCTCCAGGCTCTCTCCTGGGGGCAGGGGACAGGGCCCATCCTCTTTCATCAGGCGGCCCTGCCTGGTTCTGGCAGACTCTCTAAGCCCCTGGCCAGGCAGGAACAGGACCGGCGGGGCCACTGTCATGGGTCACAGGCTCCTGTTGCACCTTCCACCAGGCTCCAGGAGACAGTGCATCCCTTCAGTCTCCATCCTGGGGTCTTTGTGGCCTTCCTGGTCCAGCTCTCTCCCTCCTCTTTCTTGTCCCAGAGATCCGGGTTCAAATCCCAGCCCCACTGCTGGCCAGCTGTGTGATTGCAGACAGCTTGCTTAACCTCTCTGGCTTTGGTTTTCTCATCTTAGAGAGCGTGAGTCTCTCTAAGAGATGGAGAGTTGTCTCCTCTCTCAGAGGGCTGGCATGAGGTTTGCTGAAATAGCGCTGGTGACACACCTGGTTAGGGCCTGGCACCTCTAGGGCTTCAACTGCCCTCTGATTCCTTGACCTTGGCTGTCCCTGTGCTGGAGAATTCCACCTGCCCTGCCTGGTTGGCCACCGGGAAGTTTGGGCCTGTCCCCACTCCACACTGCTCACATGCACCATGTGGTTTTGTTCCACCTGCCCTGTTGGACAATGAGCAGGTCACAGGGTGGTGCCCAGTTTATTTTGGCAGCGCACAGCAAATACACAGTAAATGTTGACTGGGTCCAAGCTCACACAGCCCGCCGTCAGCTGTGTTTTCAGGATAATTTCTTAGAGCCCTCTAACTCCCTGCCCTCAGCATTAGGAAATCATTTCACTGAACTGTTTTGTTGAAGTCATAATGATTTAGCTGTTTATAGTCTCCACATTCTCCCATGTTATTATTGTGCCCATTGTACCAAAGAGGTCAGTCCCTTCCTCGCATCACACAGCTGAGAAGAGGTGGGCCTGGGTTTCAGACCCGAGTCCTGAGCCCTGAGCCATCCGTGCGCTCCAGCTGCCTGCCTTCCAGCCAGTCTCTTCTCTGCTCCACACTTCACTTCTCTCATCTGTAAAATGGGATCCTCATGGTACATACCTGCTTGTGTTCTTGCACAATTAGATGTGAGCACGTGTGTGAGTGTTGAATGCAGCATCTGGTGAGCAGTGAGCAAATGGCAGTTGTAGGGCTGGTGTCACCGCCAAGCTGCCTCCTCAGTGTCCTGGGGTCTCCCCTCCCTCTTTGCTCCAGTCATCCGATTCTCTTCATCTGGATGTTCCAGTTCTTTTCTGGGTTTTTCTCATAAACCAAGCTGCCTGAGAGGTGCCTCTGGAGGACCCTGCTTAGGCCTGAGGTTCCTGACACATGGGACAGGGTGGGTCATGCCATCCGGGTTGGGCTGTGCTGGCCAGCCATGCAGAGCTCTGGCGCCAGGTGGAGAAGGCCAGAGACCCCTCACTCATGGGGCTGGGAAGATGCCTGCAAATCGACATGCCCAACCCAAGCACGTCTTTTTCTGTGAAGAGAAGAAGGTGACGCATGCTAATGGCAGCTGGCATTTTCTAGCTTCCCTTCCAGTGTCATGCACACACAGGGAGGGCAGGGATTTGGGAATTAGGGAATGTGAATTTCAGGGTATCCTCTCTTCTTCCCAGCTGCTGAGAAAATTCTTAATTTTTCTGACCTCAGTCTCCTCATCAGTAAAATGGGAATAAGGGCCCTACCTCACCAGCATTGTGGGAGGAGCGCGGTGGGCTGTCACACCCGCGCAGGCTCCTGGGGCCTTTGTTCGTGTGATGTGGGAAAGTGGGACAGTAGTCTATCTGCAAGTAGGTTTTTGTGCACTTGTACTCGGTGCGCCTCCGAGATGGTTTGGAGTCATAGTGCCAAATGGCAGACTGGGGACTCTGAAACGGTCCCTTGGGAGTCATGATGTTGGTTGTTGGAAATTTTTAATAATAGATTTGATGTGTGATTAAAAAGCCTAACTTCTTCCAGTCCTGTCTGGAATGAACCCGTGGACTGTGTGGTCCTCCACAATTTAATAGACTGCATTTAAGCAGTGTTTGGTTGTTGCTGGTATGTGTTGACCCACATTTTAAAGGTAGAGGAAATGAAGCATGGATTTACCCCCAGAGGCTGAAAATACTACTGGAATTTTCATTTCCAGTTAATCCATTTCAATAAACGTCACTGCTTCCTTCCCTGGGCCACTACAGGGTAGGCGTGGGGCCCTGGAGAGGCATGGTCGGCTGGAGGAGGGCAGTGTGGTGCCCAGGGCTGCTGGCAGGGCACAGGGAGATGAGCATGGAGGATGCTGTTCCCCCGGGCAGGGGAGGGCAAACTGGTGCAACTTTTTTGAAAGACAAGTTGGCATTGAGGTATCAAAAGCTTAAAAAGATGTACGATCTGTGACTCGGCAGTCGAATTTTTTAGGAACACATAAACGTGTGCAGAGGTGTTCAAGGATGTTTATCCCATAGTTGTTCTATATAGAAGAAAAAAACTGGAAGCAACTGAATTGCCTAACAGTAGAGGAGGTGAAATAAATGGGAGTGCATTCAGACCAGGGAATCCCCCGCAGCTCTGAATTAAGCTGGCCAAGGGTATTTATCCTCTGATGTCCCCTTATATATGTAATAATAATAATGGCGATGAGAGCTCACACCATGCTGGGCACAGTCCTAAGTACTTTCCATACATTGACTTAACCTCCTAACAACCCTATGAGGTATGTGTTATTTCCTCCTCTTTAGAGAGAAGGAAACTGAAGCACAGAGAGGTTAAGCAACTTGCCAAAAGTCACACAGATGTTAAATGGCTGGCTGGAATTTGAACTAAAATATCTGGCTCCAGAGTCCAAAGGATGGTTCAAAATAGTGCTTTTTGTTTTTAAAATAATTCTTTTTCAATGTGTACATTAGCCCTGAAAAAAGAATGAAAGTATATAAGCAAAAATGCTAACAGTGGCTTCCTCTGGTTTACTTCTTTTTGCTCTTTTGTGTTTCCAACTTCTCTCAGTGAAAGTGTATTAAATGATATTCAAGCTCTATTTTTAAAAACCAAAAATTAGCAAGTGCATAGGGGAAAGTGCTAAGGTTCTGCTGAAACCAATCCCATGGGAATTCTGAACAAGCGCCTGGCTGTTGTTACAGAGAGGTTGTGTTCTTGGAAAATTCGAGAGAGGAGGAGAGGAAGACTCATTAAAGGTGGAAATTGAAGTCAGCTTTCCATAAATACAGGGAGGAGGAAGCTGCAATGGGCAAATGAACAATTCTGGCAAAGGCCACAAGAACATGAGCATATGTGTGTGTGTGTGTGCGTGCGCTAGGCTGACTTTGCAGATGTGTTTAAGTTAAGGATATTGAGATGGGGACATTATCCTAGATTAGCCAGGTAGGCCCTAAATGCAAACACATGTATCCTTATAAGAGGGAGGCAAGGGGAAATTTGTCTACAGGAGGTGAGTGGTGCCGCCAGCAAGATGCTCCACTTGCTTCCCATTGCTGGTCGTGAAGCTGGAGGAAGGGACGATGAGACAAGGAATGCAAGGAACGTGGCTCTAGAAGCTGGAAAAGGCGGGAGAATAATAGATTGTCCCCTTGAACTTCCAGAGGGAGAGTGGTCCTGCCAACACCTTGATTTCCATCCAAGGCAATTGATTTTGGACTTGTGATCCCCAGATGTAAGACAATAAATGTGTGTTATAGAAAGCCACCAAGGTTGTGGTGCTTTGTTCCAGAAGCCCCAGGAAACCAACATGGGGGTGTGTGCAGACCAGATGCAGGGCCTCAGCCTTTGCCAAGGCTGGCATCATGGGCTGGTGGGCAGGCCACAGGGTTGGTGTCTGCAAACCTGGTTCTGATGGGCCCTGCATCCCGAGCATCAGCAGGGAGAGCTCTGTGACACTGGTATGCAGAGACACATCACACAAGCACTGACAGGATGTGAGCTTCCACCAGCCCAGTGCAAACCTAGTCTCCACGTCGGGACAGCAAGGTTCTCGTTGCACACTGCCCCCCTTTGCTATCCTCAGGTGCTTTAAACTCCAAACCAGAGATGAAATGTGTACTCCAGCCAGAATGACCGTGCATCTTAAGCTCCATGACAAAGATCTTTGAGGACCTAGCTGGTTTTTCAGCTCACATTTTGGGAGGGGGTGGCAGGGCTGGGGATGTGTGCCTGGTCATGCACCAAACTATCCTATGCAGGTGAAATGGGGAAGGGACCCCAACCTCCTTGGAGGGGACAGAGGAAATATTTCTGGGATATCTTCTTCCCAAACTGGGGGGTTCCATAGCCTAGTCCAAGGTTTGCAGCCCCCAGGATCATTTTTTGTGTGCCTGAAACTGTTTCCAGATAGGCTGCCCCAGCACCCAGGTTTGTGGGTGCCAGAAATGGTTTTAACAGTACAGTGGACTGTTGAACAGTGCAGGGGTTAGAGCACTGACCCCCTGTGCAGTCAAAAATCTGTGTATAACTTTTGACTCCCCCCAAATTAACTACTAACAGCCTACTGTTGACCAGAAGCCTTACTGATAACACAGCCAATTAACATATATTTTGTATGTGTTATATAATATATTCTTATGATAAAGAAAACTGGAGAAAAGAAAATATTAAGAAGAAATAAGAGAAAGTACACTCATGGTATTGTATAGTATAGTATTTATTGAAAAATTGTGTATAAAAGTGGACCATTGAAGTTGAAATCTGTGTTGTTCAAGGGTCAACTGTATTTCCCATGTTGGTGTTCAAGAGTAGAGATGTTCTGTTGGGGTCAGGGGCCTGGGAATGGGGAGGGAAGCTGGGTGGCTCTCTTGTAGGTTGTCTGCAGAATCCTGTCCGTTCCCACCATGAGCCCTTGCATGTGCTCTTTGCTCACCCATAAAGTGAGACCCCTGAGCCCATGACCCACAAGCCCTTACCAGTTCCAGAGTATTCCCTGTGAATGCAGCATATGTGACAGGCAGAGGGGCAGTGGTCAGGGGTGCCCGCATGTCCCTTGCCATCTGAGGTGGTCACCCAGGAGGACTGCAGGCCCCAAGATGTAACAGGGGTGCTTCTTACCATCGCAGCTGTGGATTCATCTGGTGGAAGTGCCTGTGCTGGGCAAGGCCTGAGCCTCTGGAGTAGACTGTAGTGATGCCTCCAAGCCTGTGAGCCCTCTGACCCCTCACCCAGGCCTGGCTGCACAGTGTGGTTGCCAGACAGGTTGGCGGGGTGCTGGCCTTCACTTGGCCTCTCTGGGCCACATAGGAGAAAAGAGATGAGGTGCTGTGTTGGGTCTCATGGTTGCAAGAGACAGAAACTGACCTTACACTGATGCAAGGAGGGGAATAGGGATGTCTGTCCAGCATGGTGGGCCTAGCATGGGTCATCAGGCCCTGCCTCTCTCACCAGCAATATGGGATCAGTTCTTTGGGTTGGTTTGATTCTAATTCATGGACCATCCTGATAACCCCAGCAAAGAGCTTCTCCTCTCCAGGGATTCCAGCAGAGCCGGTCCTCACTGGAGCCCATGCCCCTCCCTGAACCATCCCTGAGGCTGAGCCCTGCCCACGTGGTTCCCACACCCCCCTCCTGCCTCACTGGTTGCTACTTCTTGCTCAGCTCTGCTGCTTTCCCATCTCCTTCCTGTGGGGCTCAGCCCTGGGACGTCTCTGTACTCCTTAGCTGGCCTCACCTAGTGTCCTTAGCTCAAGCACAGTGTCTGTGGTGATCTTGGCAGCCCCATCCTCTCCCCTGGGGGGAAGACTGTGGTCCATCTGGTGTGGGTTGAAGCCCACCCCCTGAGTGTTCCCCAGCCTCCTTTCCCCAAGGCCTTCCCCCTGGGAAATGGCAACTCTCTCCCTCCAGTGGCTGCCTTTTCTATTTACTATGACACAAGCACTTTCCCATGTTACTAAATAATCTTTTACAAGTTACTGACCCATAGTTTGTCTCATCTCTATTCGTGGACATTTAGTTTTATTTAAGTTTTTTCTCCCCCTACTGTAAATGGCACTGTAGCGAGCATTCTTACAGGTACGTCGTTAGGTGCTCTCTCTGGTTTCCTTCGGCAATTTCTTCCAGGCAGGTGACTGAGTCCCAAGAGTATGAACCTTTTAAATTATTTTAATTCATTCTGCAAAACTGCCCTCCAAAAGGTGTATCAATTTATATGACCACAAGCAGTATAAGAAAAGCACCAGTTTCAGTGTGTTTTTGACAGTACTGCAAACTTTGCCAGTTGCATTGGCACACAAACAAAAGGTGTATTGTTTTAATTTGAATTTCTTTGACTTCTAGTGAGTTTTAGTATTTTCCCATGTATGTATGCACCAATTTTAATTTTATGAATTTCTAGTTCATGTCCTTTTCCAGTTTTTTTCATGGTGCATTCTGATCTAGGCCATCCTGAAATCCACGTGAGGGGTGACAGTTCCAGGCTACGCAGGCTATGGGAGCCTTGGACCCTCTCTGTCTACCACTGGTTTCTCCAATCACACACACAGACATGCATGTATGCACACGTGCACATATGACCCTTTCCTCTCCTGAGGTCCAGAGGTCCAGAGTCTCCTGGGCCTGGAACCCACCCTCGGTGGCTAGGGGGTAAGCCGTCACTGTGGGCCATCCATGCCTGCTGGTGGCACATCACAACTGGCATGCCCTCCTTCATCATTACTCTGCTCGCCTCCCCTCCCTCGGGGCCATACTCACCTAGGCATGTTCTTCCAGGTCCTGAAGACAGCCCTCAGCTCTGTTCCTCTCTGTGTCCTCCAGGACCCCACTGTCCACTTCTGACCACAGCAGGGCTTCTGTCTGCCTCTGATCCTTTGTTTAGCCACCCCACACTGGCCCCTCTACTTCTCAACAAATTCAGACTTTTCCTTGACATTGTTCTAGGGATCATCCGGAGTTGCTTTTGTTTCTTTTCTCTCTTTTTGGAAACATGTTTGAAGAGCAAATGACATGTTGACTTACGTGCGCCCTACAGGCCAGTGTCACAGCGGTAGCCTTGCTGCGCAGGCGAGCGCCGCGATGGTCCCGTGCTGGCGATGCGGTCCCTGGGCCTGTGCGGCCCTCTGCTGGCCCGGAGAGTCACAGCAGGATCGGGGCGGCCCCGCCGCAGCAGGCACCAACCTCGTACTCGCACTCCCTCCACAGGGCTCCTGCTCCACGACGTGACCATGGCCGGGCTGCAGGAGATGCGGTTCCCCAAGGAGAAGCCCCTGCTCCGGGGCCAGGACGCCGCGGAGCTGGTGAGTCGCCCCTTCGGGGTCCTGGAGCGGAGGGCGCCACCTCGTGGCCAAGAAGAAAACCGCGCGCCTTCCCTCCCGACTTGGCGGTAGCCTCCCCGGAGCTGCATCGGCCAACCACTCCCGAAAAGCTCAGTCAGCTTCAGCAGCGTTCCAGCCGGGGCGCCGACGCCACGAAGACCCAGCCATCCTCCTGTGGCCTTGGCCGTCGGGAGGCTGGGAACCTCTTTCTGAGAATTACACCCAGTTCAGTATGAGAAAACGGAGGCACAGAAAGGTTAACTCCCTCGGCCAGGGTCACACAGCTATCAGGGAATGAGGCAGTACTCAGCCCCTTGTTCTGCAAGGCCCTTGAGCCCCAAAAGGGCAACCTGTTGGGCAGTGTTGCCTCCAGCAGGGACACAGTGCTGCCTCTTTCCTCCTCTGCAGCCTTCCCTGCCTGTTCCCCACAGGCCTCTGAGGTGCGAGGTCAAGTATTACCAAGAGGAGCAGTGGGACTGAGGCATTCGGGGTTATTTTGTCCCAAAGAGCCCTCATTGGGGCACCAGGCGTTAGATTCCAGTTATTCAACTCCAGGCTCCGTTATTGTGGTGCTGCTGGGCACAGCACCCTTTCACCTCCTTGCAAGAAAAAGTGGTGGGTCCAGTGCTTATATGACTGTGGCGTGTCAGGGCCGAGGGTCTCTGCTGGCTGTGCTGCCCCTGCCCCACTTTACCAATGGGGGAGCCAGGAGCTCAGCCCGAGTTTTAGCACACTGGTCTCTGCCCTGGCCCGGTCTCCTGCCAGAAGATGGACTTATGAGCCACGGAGGGCCACATGTTGGGACAGAGTAGCTGTCTGGAGCTCCAGGGGCCGAACCACCTGAGGCCAGCAGTCCTGCCCCCCAAAAGGGTACAGTTTTATCTTTAAGGCCAAACCTTGAGTGACTTATAAGATCTGATAGCCTGAGGGCAGCCCCCAGGAATGGCCAGCTGATGGCTGGTGAGCTGCAGGCCCTTCATTCTGATTCTTCTCCCTGCCTGTTCCCAGCCCTGCCAGCTCTGGTCCAGGTGCTTGCAGGAGCCTCCCGGCAGCACTCTGTCCTCAGTACAACGTTTTAAAATACATCTTGTCACTTTTCTGCTTACAGCTGGCCCTTGGCTGCCATCTCACTCGGAGTTACAGCCACAGCCCTTCCCAGGGCCCAGGACTAGACCTGCTCCCGGCACCCTGCCCACTCCTCTCCTGCCCCCCAGACTCCCTGCTGTTCTTTGAACAAGCAGATCGAATTCCCAGCTGTCTGTCCCCTCTGCCTGGGAGATGTTAGCTCCAGAACTTTTCCTCCTTTTATTCAGGCCCTGCTCGAGTGCCCCCTCCTTGGGGAGTCCTTTCCTGACCCCTGTGTCTGACACTGACACCCTAGCAGAGATCCCATCCATTGTATTTCCCCTGGTCTTCCCAGGGGAAGTGCCTAGTGCAGAGCCTTGCACATAGTAGGCTCTCAGTAGCCCCTCATAATAGGCTGACTGGAAGCCCCAAATTGTGATGTAACTCAGAAAAAGGAAGTTTCTCAGAAATTTCTGGAGAAGTCCCTCCTCCCTACAACCAGCCCATTTTTCAAGGCATGAAAGCGGAGACCAGCCTTCTTGTGAAGGCTTGATGGGACAGATGGTGCCCTCAGGGATCCCTGTAGCCCCTCATAGGAGCTGTAGGGCGGCCCAGGGGCAGCCTGCACAGAGGTGCTGCCTGCCGGTCTGGAGTGCGTGTCCGTGAGCTGTGCAGACAGCTGAGGGACCCTGGCATCCCAGGTCCTGGGCCTGTCTCTTCCATCCCTCACCCCAGAAGGGTATCCAAAAGATGCCCCTGCATACCTCCCTTGCCAGCCTGACACAGCCCTTCCTCTCTGACTGGCTGAGCACTGCCTCTTTGACCAGCAGCCTGGCCCGGCCCTCTTTCTGCCTCATTAGATGTCTCTCAGCTCATCCCACATGTCTTTGGATTGGAGTTTCATCCATGATGTCCCCACCCTGCATGAGGGGGTCTGTATTTCAGTCCTGTACAGGCCTCCGCTCTCTTGCTCGGTCTCTGTCATCTCTGGAGTGAGTGTAAGCCCTATGCTGTGGACCTGGTCACATCTGCTTTACAAAGACACGTTAGCAGCCCCATCCTGAACCCCCAGAACCTCCTGGGTGCTCCAGGTGTGGCCTTTCTGGATTTTATGACAACTGGTGCAACCCCGCCTGGCTCTTGGCCTTTGGCAGCCACCTGGCTCTCTCTTTCCCAGGCGGTCACCCTCAGATTCTCCTTTTCCAGCCGCAGTGTGGCAGTGCCTGTCCCTTTTACTATTTAAGTCTTCTGCAACCTGCTAGGTCCAAATTCTTAGGCCTAAGAGGAGGGAATGCTTGCGTGTGCTGGCCTGCCATCACTCCTGCCATTTCAGACTTGTTTGCCCCAAGGACTTGAATGCCTGCCTGGTGTGCCTCGGCTCCCTGGGAGGATTGCTGCTCCTTCCCACCTTTGCCTGCATCCCCAGCCTCTGTCTCTCCACAGGCCTCTCTGCCTCCTCTCAGCGGGGCCTTCTCACACCATGCAGTTCCTCCAGAACCTCCAGGGTCCTGCACTGGCTTGCGTTATTCCTGCTGTTTCTTGGTTTGGGGTCCTGACCCTCCCACCAGCATTCCCATCTCCTGGGACCTGCCCCCCCCAGCACCCTGAGAGTACACAGTGCGCCCTGCCATTATCTGCCTTGTCCTTTCTGTTGAGCTTTTTTTTTTTTTTTTTTTTCTCCTGGGACCTGCCCCCCCCAGCACCCTGAGAGTACACAGTGCGCCCTGCCATTATCTGCCTTGTCCTTTCTGTTGAGCTTTTTTTTTTTTTTTTTTAACAAAACTGCCTCCTCTGTCCTTCTCTGGATCACTATGCACTTAGGGTCTCAAGTATAAAAATCTCCCATGTGTCTTTCCTTGGCCCTTGCTTGTACATGAGAAGATTCATTAATAAATGGCCTTGACCCCTTCCCTGAGAACCCCCTTCTCTTCCCTCAGCCCCCTACCCTTCCTCAGAGGTTCCAGAGTGGCCTAGTTACCTCCATGCTCCATACACACACACACACACGCACACATGCATGCAGAGCCTGGTGAGGCCTGAGGACAGTCATTGTTTATGACTCAGTCACAGTCCGTGGAAACCTGGGTTTCTTCTCTGGGTGTGAAACCCTCTGATGCTGTCTGATTCCCCCCACGATCCCCCACCATCCCAACTGCCAGAATGCAGGTGGTCGAACTTGTCTTTATTTTGAGAGTAAAATAGAATTGCTGGCTTTCGTTCTCTTCCTTTCTAGTCATTTGGGGTTGTTTCTTGCTGTACCTTAGCAGCCCACCCCTTCTGCTCTCCTCAGAACATCCTTGTTCTGATCAGATGGTCTCATTTACCCACACATTTATTCAGTAGAGGCTTGTGGGGCTTGTGGGGCATCTGTAGCATACAAAGTCCAGTGCAGGAGTAGAAAGGATAGAACAACAACTCTCTCTTAATCCTCACAGGCATTGAGGCGTGGAGGTTAAGTGGCCTGCCCAGGTTGTCACAGCTGAGCAGAGAAGGGCAGAAGGTTTGTAGACAGACACAGTAGAAGGCAAAGCAGAGGGCCAGGATCTCTGCTTTCCTGGACGTGTACTGGTCCCCCTGTGAGGTTTCCTTCCCCGGACAGGACCCAGCGGGGCATAGAGTGTCTGAGAGCGGCCGGGGCGGCATCAGGGAGAGCCTGGCAACTCAGCACGGGCAGTTTAAGCTCCCACTCCTCCGCTGTCCATCCCTGCTGCCTGGGAAACAGCTGTTAACACCTGAGCGGCACTCCCTGCATCATGAAGTCAGATTTATTCATCCAGATCTGTCTGTGTCTGGGGAGCCAATTGCATGTCAGGCTGTATGCTGAGGGCAGAACCTGCCATGGTCCCCTCGGGAAGGACAGCTGCTGAACAGAGGAGCTGCGTTCAGTGTAAATGACTCCAAAAGCAGGGGAACTCGGGGGTGTGGTGAGCATGAAGCAGGTAGGTCTGGAAAGTGGGAGCGGCTGCAGGCCCAGACAGCACCTTTGTGCAGCTCAGAAATGCTCCCTCTTTCCTCCCTCCCTGTGTGGGCCTCAGCTTCCCCATCCCTAACATGGGTGTGGGGGTCGTGCCCACCGCCCTCCTTGCCTGGTCTCTGCCTTTGTGTCCTGATGGTCAGACCTGGAAAACCATCTGTGGGGGCAGCAGGGCAAAGTGACAAACAGCAAGGATTTGTCATTAGAGATTTTGCCACCTTCTAGCCCTGTGACTGAGCCTCTCTGAAACTCACCCTTCTCACCTGTCGAATGGAAATCTTCACATTTAAATTAATAGGTAAACTGCAGGCACTTCCTAGCCTGATGCCTGCTGCTTAGACAGCCCTGAATCACTTTTGTTAACATGAAGATGGACTGAAGAACATCAAGTGGGGGCTCCTCAAGACAGCTCCTGTGGGTCCCCCGGGCCAGCCAGGGCCTAATGTGCCACCCTCTGTCCGTCTTCCCCCAGGAGAACTCTGATGCCTTCCTCTTGGCTGTGGACACAGACTGGAAGGTAGGTCTCAGCTCACCCTCCTGGGATAGGGGACTAAGAGCTGGCCAGCCCCTGGCCCTACCCAGCTTAGTCCCAAAGGAGGGTCACAGCCCTCCCAGCCTGGAGCAGGAGGGGCTGGGCGCCTGGCAGCCTCCAGGACCACCTGCACTGCTCACAGTGGGTCTGCCTACCCCCTGCTCAGTAGTGAGATGAACAGGACTGGAGGTGGGGACGGTGGCCTGGGGAATGAGGGAGAAGACGGGATGCTGTTATCTGAATCAGCATTTTCCTCCAATGAAAGCCCAGTTGATGCTCCAAAATAGCTCCTGTTTCCATGGCAGCTGTTGCCAGGACAACTGTGTCCTCTTTAGTTTGATCCCAGATTCCCTGTGAAAACTGAAATTGTTCTTTGTTTTTATTCCTCTGTACAATGAGTTCACTCACTTGATCAGCTATTTCTCCCTTCTGAGTCCCATACTGGCCATTTATTTCTGGGTCTTGGAAAATGTCTGCCAGCAGACACAACAGGAGCCTCGCTGGTATCAGGAGTCACTTTGGCCATCAAAACCTGCTGAACAAAGTTAGACCCTTCTGGAACCTTGCTCCTGGCTAGATGGAACTAGCCTGGGCCTGACTTCAATTTGGGTCAGTCGCTGAGCTCCATGACAGCTCCAGGCCCGGGGTCTGGACCAGGGGATTTGGGAGGTAGGCCAGCCTTGCCGGCTCCCCCCGCCCGGGTGCTCAGCAGTGAGGATCTGCGTCCCAGGTATGTGTGGCAGGCCCTGGGTCACCCGTCCTTTCAAGGACAGAAGCAGTCGGAGACATCAGAGCAGCCAGGGTGCACGTACTCCAGTCCCTAGGGAGTGCCGGCTCCGAACCCAAAGGGCCGCAGGCCTGGGAGGATGGCACACAGGGCCTGGGGAGTGGGGAGCAAACAGGCACGGTGGTCAAAAGATGGCCCTGGCCCAGCCTGAGGTCAGTGTGGGCACACCAAGGGGTCCTTTTTTGTCCTCCCCGCTCCACATAAGGGCGGGAATGTATGGCCAAAAGCCCCTCCTCCCCAGCAGTGGGCTGGTGAAATAAAGCCCCAGAGCAGCCAGCCAGAGTAGGGCCTGCCAGCCCCCGAACGCACACCGTGGTGGGTGTGAAAGGAGAGGGTAATCCTGGGATCCTGCTCAGCTGTGTGCCAGGCCCAGCCCAGAGCAGTGACCAGGGTAGGTAGACCCTTTGCTCTGTGAAGGGCAGCATGTGTTAGAAGGCACGGCCCCCCACTCCCTTCCTGTACCCACCTCTGCCCCCCACACTGGCCCCTCCAGTCACACTGCATAGGGCTACAGAGGCTGCTTTTTTTTTAAGAAGAAGAGCCACTGCAAGGACGGACCTTATCTGAGCCAAGGCCTGGCAGCGACTTTATCCCTTGTCCCTTGCCTTAGTGGGCCCAGTCACTGGTAGAAGCAGAAGAATAAACAAGAGACCTGGTTCCAGAGCCCGGCACTGCCATTTACAGGCCATATGACCTCCAGTACATGTCCCCACCTCATGTACAGTGAGACAGGCAGCTTGGATCTCCCCAGATGTTTTTAGGGTCTGGAGATGATGCCTGCAGGCCTGGCCCTCAGACTCTGAGCTGACTGTGACTAGTGGCCTGTAGAGCATGGAGATGGAGCCTGACTGCCTTGGTGTGGTCCCAGGCTCTGTGCTTGACTGTATCATGTTGGGCAGGTTACAGAGCCTCTCTACGCTTCATTTTCCTCATCTGTCAAGTGGGTGTCAAGAGAACAAAATTAGATATGATGTGTAAAGCACTTGGGTAGAGCCTAGAATGGGGAGATATGCTAATAAGCATTTGCTATTCTTAATAATGCAACCTCAGGCCCAGAGTGTTAGGGTGCTGGTGAGCGCCACTGCTGCCTAGCTGAGTGGGAAAAGCAACTTCTTTGTGCTTGTTTCCCCATCTTTTCTCATAGATATGTTAGGATTATGTGTTATCTTTGCAGCTGCCTGTGCAGTAGGCACTGTTTTTCTCCCATTTACAGATGTGGAGACTCAGAGAAGTTGACTGACTTGTCTAAGTCACACAGCACAGAAGTGGCAGAGTTTGGCCACTGGTGCCTGGCTGTGGCCTGCAGGATATGAACCTGCCATTTTCAGCTACGGCAGCTGCAGAGAACTCTGGGAAAGGGGCTAACAAGCTAGAGAAGCACACAGATTGTCCCACTTTTCCCCTGCCAGGGCTTAGGCAGGCACAGGATCAGGGCTAGAGCCATTTTTGCAGCTTTTTCTCATCCTCAGAGCAGCTCTTCAGGAAGGCCCAATTCCTGTTTTACAGTTGAGGAGCCTGAGGCACAGAGAAGTTAAAAACTTTACCCAAGGTTACCCAGCTAGTAGGCTTGGGGAGCTGGGATTTAAACTCTGGTCTGTGGATTTGAAACCAGTGAGCTGAATAGGATTGGGGGCCATGGCTTGGAGTGGGCAGCATCCGAGGTCAGCTTCTCACCTGGTACAGTGGGAGAGGCCACTCAGAGGTTGGGGGCCCAGGCTGGATGGGGACAACGGAGGCACAGGGCTTTGGTGGCAGATGGGGTGGATGGCTGCCCCTCGTCCCTTTGGGGAACGTGCGGGGGGATTTGTGGGCAGGCAGGGGAAGGGCTCTTCTTTGCAGGTTGCCTCAGGTAGGAGCCTGTCCCTTGTGCTGAAGTGGTTGCGGGGAACTAGCAGCATGGCCAGGACATGAAGGGCAGGGGCACACCCCATCCCATGCCCTGGCTGCCCTGGGTGAGCTAGGCCCCCAGAGCAAGAGGTCAGAGATGGGTCAGGGGCAGTTGTGGGTGCCCCCCAGGCGGAGGAGGTGACCGCCTCCCCCAGAACAGCTAGCCAGTGTCAGGGCTGTCAGTGCAGGCTAGGCTGAGTGGCACGTTCCTTCACCAAAAGGACAGAATGGGGGCACAGGCGCCCAGCACCCCTCCCTTCTCTGTGGCTCGTGCTTCTCTCAGTCCTTGGGCTCCCTCCTCTGCTCACCTCCCTGACCCATTTCCTCTCTCTTCTGCTCTCCTTTGCCTTCCCTTCTGCTGTATTTGTCTGCATGTCTCTAGCCAGCTCCTCACCCACATCTGCAGTTCTGGAGGACAGGGAGGGAACCTGAGGTGGCTCATGTGTCCTGCTCCCCAGAGACTCAGAAGCCACGCCCCACACTGCTGGGCCCAGGGAAAGAGAGCTGGGTGGGTCTGCAGGAGGTGGGCATGCCCACTTTAAGAGGCTGCCTCCTATCCCTCCTCCTCTCCCTGGTGCAGGTCGGGGGTGAGGAGGGCAGAGCTGGTGTGTGCCCCACCATACCCCTGCTCCTGCAGTCTGCCCAGGCCCACCCCATCCCCAGGGCCCCATTTCAGCAATGTGGGCAGGCCCTGGGCATACCTGTGGGTCAAGTGGAGGCTAGGGGAGGACCTGAGGGATGCAAAGAGTACAGTCTCCTGGAGCAGGGCTATTATGACCCAGGTTGCCCCAGACAGCATTGACTCCTCAGCACAGCCCCCTCAAGGTTAAGTGACCCAGGCCTTCCTGATATGGAGGCTGGGCTTTCCCTCGGCCCTTCCTGTCCCCCCCAGGTTGTGGCTCAAGGGCAGTGCTGTCCAGGGCAAGCCTGGGCTCCCCACCCTGCCCTGTGTTGGTGTGTGTGTGTCAGGTGAGAGGCCCCTGTGTACCGGATACAGGGTGTACTCATACGTGTGGCCTGGTTTGTCATCTTCCCGGGACCCCGTGTGCAGCTGCAGCCTCGCTGTATGACAGTGTGCTAGGGGTGGGAGGAGCAGGGGCCGGGCTGGGGTGAGCGAGGACCGCGGCAGCCAGTTGGAATCGGGCTTGTCTCCCGCCCCCCAATCAGGGAGCGGAGGCTCAGAAACGCCGCCAGGAGGAGGGCCGGCTGGCGGCTGGCTGTGCATATAAACCGGGAGCGGCGCCCCATCTCAGAGCCGCCCGTCTCCGCTCGCGCTTAACCCCTCCCTCTGGACCCGGTGATTCAGGCCTTTGTTTGCCCTTCTGGTCGAGGCGGGTCGCCTTCACACTCGGCAAGATGCCCGAGTGCTGGGATGGGGTGAGTGAGGGCTCTCAGGGTGGCGAGGCGGCAGGGAGGACGCGGCAGTCCTCTGCCTGCTCGGGGTCACTGAGGCAAGGCCAGCAGGTTCTCGTCTCCCCGGTGCCCATGGCCCGCAGCAGTGAGGGTTAGCTGCCAGTTAGGGTCTATGGGAAAGCCGGGATCTGCAGAAAGCGAAATGGCCCGTGCGTCCGTCGCAGTGATCGTGCGTGTGCGCTCCGCATGGCACATGCCCACTGGCGTCTGCCTGGCGCCTGTGACCACCTCAGCCCAGGGGGAGGCTGTGTGCCCTGCCCGTGTCCGGGTGCGTGCCCTCCTGACTCTGCGGGACTGTCCTGGTTGACTGGGTGGGTGGCTTGCACCCGAGTGAGAACAGGATAGACAGCCTCCTTTTTCCTTAGGACTTGCTTGCTGCTCCCTCCGGGACACTGCGGAGCCAGCCCCCAGAGACGGGGAGGTCTGGGGTGGGGTGCTAACCGGGCCCTCAGGCCGGGGTCCTTGCTGGGGAGGGACAAGGAGGGCATCGCACTGCCTTATTTTGTGGGTGGGGGAAGGCGACGCTGGAGCCATGCGCCGTGGGCTAGAGACCCCAGTTGGGCGCACCCGGCAGCAATGCCCAGGGTTGCTGTTCTTCCTCAGAGAGTTCCCTCTCTTTAAGAGGCACCCCTTATCCGGGCCTGCCCTGCCCAGGTCACAGGCCACAGGGTCGCCCCCCCGCCCCCCGATCAGGCAACAACGTCAGCGCCTTACCCGCGGGCGCAGCCCCGATATCGGCCGAATTACTGATGGCGGTGACGGAAAGGCTAGTACTAACTAGCCCGCTGGTCCCCACCCCTGCGCGCGTTGCAACCGCCCCCTCCACCTCCACCGCAGCCCTCAAGGTCACGGGCAAGGGGAGACGGGCAGGCTGAGAGGGGACGTCAGAGCCCCCTTCGTCGCCTGCCGCAGTGCCTCTAGCCGGCGCCCACCTGGAGGCCGGGCTCTGACGTCACCGGGAGCCAATGGGAGCGCTCGGCCCTTGGGGCGACCCGCTAGTGTAGCAATGAGAGGGACTGGTCACTAGGTCTCTACCAGGCTGAGCTGGGTCTGACCTCCTGGGCCGGCGGGAGAGTTCAGCCAAGGTCTCTGGGCCGCGAGGCGAGCAACTGGGTGGATGCCTCCAACAGTCCTTCCATCCCCAGGAGCTGAGACTTAGTTGGGTGGGCACTGCGACTGAGCCCCAATGCCCAGGGGATGTTGATGGGGCCATCACCCTACGGCTAGGAGGGTATATTCACCCCCCATACCCCACACACACACCCATGGGCAGTGGAGGTCTGGGTGTGGAAAACTGCTACGCTGGGGTCTGACTTTGACCCCAGAGGGTTAGGACTTACCCCATGCCTACAACTGTCCTTCGAGCTGCAGGAAGCGCATTGCAGCTCTTGTGCAATGGGTGCCCCTTCTGCCCCACACCCAGCCCCACACGCACCTCCATAGGGCTGTGCACCTCTCTGCCCCTCATTTTCCCCCTCCAGAGCCAAGAGAGCCTGGCGCTTGGGGTATGCTGCATGGGCCCCAGCAGGGACAGGTGGCTGTGGAGAGACCACCTGCACCAGAGGTCTCTTGGGTGGAGCTTGATCTACCCCAGCCTTCCGTGAAGGCCTTTGGTCTCTGAGGCTGGCACCTGTCTAGGCCTGCCTTGCCATCTTTGGGCGTGACCTTGACTATTTCTCCTATCCCAGCCCTAGTTTGCTCCTCTGTGGCTTGGGTCCTGTGAGGAGTAAATGAGAAAACACATGAAAAGCAGCCAGTCAGTGAGCAGCAAGTGTTTCTGGTTTTGATGGCCCTGAGGGAGGACAGGCCTGGGACATGGGGAGGCTGTGGTGGACCTGGGCCTCCCTGGAGGACAACAGGGTTTCTTTAACAGGGCCACACAGCAGAAATGTGATTTCCAGTGTGGTCTTTGGCCACGGGATTGGCACCACCTGTCACTCCCTGCTACAGACAGGCCTGAACAGTCTCTGAGCCCAGACCCAAGAAGGCCTGTCTCCAAGAAGCTGTCTCCTGTCTCCTAAGTCTCCCTTTTCCTATTGTGGGCAGGAAGTTAGATTCTAAGTGTTCTCTACCTGCAAAATGGGAGAAAGCGCCCCCTCTCTATTGCAAAACCTGCTCTATACCTGGCGCACAGTAGGTGCTCAGTCATGTGGTATCCTTGCCCCTAGCCCCACCTCCAACTCACTGGGCCCACTCAGGGGACTCTCCAGAGTGCTGGTGGGCTGTTTATTCAGCTCTGAAAGACCCTTTGGGAGTCTCCTCACTGAGGGGCCAAGAGTGGCCAGTTTGAAAAGGGACCAGCCAGCAAGGCACCTCCCCAAAAGCTTGGGGATGCCCAAGCACAGCAGCTTCTTCCTGGGGCCCTTTCCAAGTGCTGAATGTTCTGCAGATCAGCTTCTTGAGCCGCCAGAGTCCCTGTGAGGTGGGTCGGGAAGAGGTGGCTGAGGCACAGGGAAGAGGTGTACTGTGCTCAGACTCACACAGTAAGGGCCAGTGTGGTCTGGAACCAGCAGCGTCCAGCTTCTGCCTCCTGAAGGATTAACAACCCTGAGCAGCAAAACCAAGGGCATGAGCACTGGAGGACCCCAGAGCAGCCACTGCAGAAGGCCTTTCGGGGGTGTGGGGGGGTTCAGGTTAATCAGGCCCTGCTGAAGGGAGGCCCCAGGGGTCATGGGGAGGGGCATTCGAGGTGGAAAGAAGCCTGGAGGTGGGAACCAGGAGCAGGTGTGGGGCTTGGAGGTGGGGTTTGGTGGGCAAGGGGGTGGTCACTGTGGATTCTAGGCAGGCTGTTGAGACCCTTCGCCTTCAGGAGCAGCAGTCCACGAAGGATTCTGAGTGGGAGAAGAACATGGGGAGGGTGGAACCCAGGTGGGACCCTGGCTGGGGTGGCAGAGCTGTCCTGGAGGGGCTGCAGTAAGATGGAGGAAACAGGCCTCACTGGACCCAGGGCTGAGAGCGGCAGGGCCTAGGCGGTGCAGCTCATCCCTCCGGCTTTTTCACAGAGTGGGCCAGAACTTTCTTGTGCAGACCAGTTCATGTTGTCCCTGGACCAAGCACCCGTGGGCAGGGGCTCCATCTGGTCTGTCCTCTCTGGGAGCTGCCTGGGTTGATGAGAATGGGATGCCCACCCCTGTTGAGGGGTGGAGATAGAAGCTGCCCCGCAGCCTCATTCTCCAGAAAAGCCCAGCATGGGGGCTTCCCAGGGTCCAGCGCTCTCTCTCCCCTCCAGGAACATGACATTGAGACGCCTTATGGCCTTCTGCATGTGGTGATCCGGGGTTCCCCCAAGGGGAACCGCCCAGCCATCCTCACCTACCATGACGTGGGCCTCAATCGTAAGTGCACCCCGGTCTCTGCCTTCCTCTGCCTCAAATCTGCCAGAGCAGCAAGGCCTCCTCTCCTTCCACACAGGGCCACAGACATCCCCATTCATGCTTAGCTGGTTGCCTTTGCCATTTGGGCCTTGGTTTCCCCAGCTGACCCCCCTCCACCTTGCCCTGCCGCTCAGGGCCACAGGCCTCCCACCCCTCTGCTCAGCCACTGCTGAGAGCTCTGTCTTTGCAGACAAGCTGTGCTTCAACACCTTCTTCAACTTCGAGGACATGCAGGAGATCACCAAGCACTTCGTGGTGTGCCATGTGGATGCCCCTGGTCAGCAAGTGGGGGCGTCGCAGTTTCCACAGGGGTAGGTACCCCAGAACCCTACCAGCTTTCCCCATCTCTGCACCCCAGGCTACACCTGGGCCTAACCTTCCACTCTGCCTTCAGGTATCAGTTCCCCTCCATGGAGCAGCTGACTGCCATGCTCCCCAGCGTGGTGCAGCACTTTGGGTGAGTCCCCACCAGCCCCTGCGCCAAGGGGATGCTCACCATTGCCACAGAGCCCCCAGCTCCAGCTGAGGGCTGTGAGGGGGCCTGCTCGGCATGGCAATCATGGGAAATGGCACCCCCTAGCCCTAGAGTGACCAGCCGTGCTCTCTGTCAGGTTCAAGTATGTGATTGGCATTGGAGTGGGAGCCGGAGCCTACGTGCTGGCCAAGTTTGCAGTGAGTCTCCCCATGCCCCCATCCCAGAGCTGGTCTCTCCTGGGGGCAGCCCTTCTACCCTGGGAACATTTATTTTCCTCTCCTTTCCCTCCCCTCACTTTCTTTTCACTTAGAAAAGCCCTTTCCCCTTTTTTTCTCTGAAGAAAATAATTTTTTTAAAAAAGGTATTTCAATACATTTTCCCAAAATAAAACTATACTTAACTGTTATCCAAAGCCAGAATTTCTGTTAGCCACAAACTATACAACTAATTGTTCTAGCCACTAAATAAGGATTATTCTAATCACTCATTCCCTAATTAAGGTTATATTAAAACATGAATTCATCTTTTAACCAAAAATTTCACATAGGTTAAATTTGGAAGTTTTCAAGGCCGAAAGAGAGTCACATTCTTCAGAAACACCATGTTGGGTAGGAGACCACAAGCTTTTCATCTATTAAAAAAAAAAATTCTCAGGATTCAAAAAATTTCTTTCCCCAAAAGAAATGAGTGAGAACTTTCAACTCTGGTTTCAATTTCAGCACTTAACCACATTAATTTTGGGCCATGCCCTGCCACCCCAGACACACTTGGCATGACAGTAGGATGTATGTGTATTACCATTTTCTCCTCAACATGGGCAAACAGTGGAAAAGAAGATGCGAATCTGAATCTGGGTTACAAAGTCTAACACAAAATAGGCTTTGGAAAGGTCAGTTTCTTACATCACTAGGGTTCATTCTATGAAAGCAAAGAAACAAACTGTTTTATTGATGTGTAATCCCGCTTTACAACAGCAGCATATTCAAAGATACATTAAAAGGGGTGGAGAGTAGTGATGGAGCATAGACTCAAAACACACTGAAAGGTTCCAGGTGGAAAGGAGGACGCGCAGGGGCAGCTGGAAGTGGAGCCCAGGCAGGGTCCCAGCAGGGCCAGTTGGGCTTCAGTGGCATCTTGAGGCTCTTAACAAAGTGCATCCTTCTCTCGGACCATCCCAACCGCCTGTGAGATTGGCAGAGCTGGAACTTCACAGCCCGTTTCCTAGGCGGGAATACTGGGGCTCCCTGAGCCCCATCCCATCCCACAAACCCTGTCCCCCTTCATGGCAGCTCATCTTCCCCGACCTGGTGGAGGGGCTGGTGCTGATGAACATTGACCCCAACGGCAAAGGCTGGATCGACTGGGCTGCCACCAAGGTAAGCGTGGTCTTCCTGGGCAGTGGGGGGTGGTGAGGGGCAGCTCTCACTCTGGCCTCCACCTCGGCCCATAGCTCTCCGGCCTGACCAGCACTTTACCCGACACGGTGCTATCTCACCTCTTCAGCCAGGTAAGGGGGTGGGGCCCGTCCTCACATAGCAGCGGGGAGTGGCCAGACTGGGGGTCTCTTAGAGCCTTGGGCAGTGGCTGAAGGGCATGGTTGTGCCACTAAGGGATGCCCGGGGCTTCTGCGCCCTTCAGCCAGAGTGGCAGTGAGGGGATGTGACTGGCATCCTACCTGTCTCACTCCGTTGTCAGCCCTGAGGCTGCTGCGGCATCTGAGACACGTGGTGGGGGGTCCTCCTCCCAAGCCCTCCCTGCCCGTCTCCTCCCGAGGCCCTGCCCTGCTGAGAGTGAGGCCAGGGCTGCTCTGGCCCAGACAGGCACCTCCCTCTGAGCCCACACCCCGAATGTCCTCTGCTATCTGCCCCCAACCGTGCCCCTGCCCAGGAGGAGCTGGTGAACAACACGGAGCTGGTGCAGAGCTACCGGCAGCAGATTGGCAACGTGGTGAACCAGGCCAACCTGCAGCTCTTCTGGAACATGTACAACAGGTGCGGGCAGCATGGGCTCGGCTTGGCTGCATCAGGACCCAGCGCGCCTTCTGGGGGACCCCTTGGTGCGGCCTCCCTGGGAGGTGGCGGGCAGGTGACACATTCTCCCAAGTCTGCCGACGAGCAGGTGGTTGAGCCTCCTAGAGGGGTCACACCCAGTGAGGGGCAGGTAGGGAGCTGAGCTTTGGACTCTGTCCTTGGGCTCTTCCATTCCATCTCCTCCCTTGGGGCGTGCCAGCTGGGAGCATTTGGGAATGTGGGCGACATCCTGCTCCTGCTGCCCTTCGCCTCAGTGCTGACGTCTATACATGAGGAGGTCAGAGAAAGTCTGGTTGTCACTGTGCTCCTTGGAGCTTCTTTGGGGTTGCTTTGCAGGGGAATGGCCAGGGACCCCACTGATCTCCCTCCCTGCTCCTTGTCCTACAGACATTTGTTAAGCACCTGCTGTGTGCATGGTAATAGAGAACAGGAGCAGCCCATGCCTCCCTCCAGGGCCTAGGCCCCCCACAGCGCAAGTGGCAGCGCACACCCAACGAGTACTTGGGTTGGGGGTGAGGGGAAGCCAAATTTGAGGGCCCACATGGCATGAGTTGGGGGGTCTGAGAAGAAGCCACCCATGAGGGGAGCACTGAATGCCCCTATTAGTGCAGAGCAGGTTCCTGTCTCCCTGTTGTCCCTGTTGGGATCTGTGAGGTATTGCTCCACAGTTGAGACAAGGAGATGAGTGTAGCCCAACTCGGAACAGCCCGGGGCTTCCGGGCACGTTGGGCTGTAATTGCTAAGACTGGCTGTCAGGCTTGGGGACACACCACCCAGGATGGAGTCCCAAGATGCCCACTTCTGCCTCTGTCCTTTCTGCAGCCGCAGAGACCTGGACATTAACCGGCCTGGAACAGTGCCCAATGCCAAGACGCTGCGGTGAGTGCCCCCTGCCCTCCAGCCTGCCCTACCTTTGCCGCCAGGCAAGGCCAGACAGCCATTTTCCTATGTCTGCAGCTGCCCGGTGATGCTGGTGGTTGGGGATAACGCGCCTGCTGAGGATGGGGTGGTGAGTGAGGCATTGTGCCCTAACCTGGCGTGCAGGGGTGAGAGGTGGGAGGAAGGGGTGTCACTGGCCCCTAACCAGCAGGGTCAATTCTTGACCCAGCCCAGGGAAACCACATGGTCTTCTCATCCCACGTCCCCACGACCTTGCCATGCAGCAAGCACCCATCCTTCAGGTGACTGAGGTCTGGAGACAGGAGGGAACTGCAGCCAGGGCCACGCCTCCCAACGTGCCTTCCCTCCCAACACTGAAGCCCCACCTGGAGACTGATTTCTTAAGGCCTGGAGACTGATTTCTCTTTTCTCTGAAAGTTGATTCATTCATTAGGAAGTAAGGAATTCCTGTGGTCCTGCTTCTACTACCACTTGCATCTCAGTGCAAGACTTGTCACATCTGGGGATTACGTATCACCTGTCCTGTTGGAACTCTGGGAGCAGGTGGCCTGGGGGTTTCGTGTGTGCCTTAGCACAGAGAGTCCGGTCCAGAAGGTCCCAGCACAGCCCCTCCACTTCCTCCCATCTGCACAGAAATGATCACATGTGAGGGCATGGAGGAGCAGGGGTGTGGCCTGCACTGGCCAGCTGCCCCAGACAGGCCCCACAGTTTCTTGCTGACCCTTGGCCCTCCCTCTCTCACCTGACTCCTGTGGTCCCTGCTGCTTTCCCAGCCACTCCTGCCAAGGTGGCCCTGACTCCCTGTGAGGACATTGCCTGGCCCCTGCTCACTGCTGTTCGATCAGCAGTTGTGAATGGAGTCCGAGGGCCGAGGGCCCTCAGGGGGCTGCTTCATGGTCTACAGGACTTGGCCTTGCAGAAAGCAGCCTGGAGAGGGGCAGCCTCAGCCAGGGCCAAGTGCTGGCCTATGTCTGTCCCACTGGTGCCCTCCCTCACCAGTAGACGCCTCCCAGCTCTGGGTATAGAACCTGCCTTAGCAATTAGGGCAGGGAGCTCCCGTGCCACCCCTGGGGGCCAGAGCTGCCTTACTGTGTTGAAGCCGGCTCCTTGTTCCCAGGTCGAGTGCAACTCCAAACTGGATCCAACCTCCACAACCTTCCTGAAGGTGAGGCCTTCCTCCCACTGTGGGCCCAGCCTCAGGGCAGGGCCTGCCTGGGGTCCCACTCAGGGTGGGAGCAGGATGTGTGTCTGCTCAGGGAGCTTGTCCAGGTGCACAAGGCCCAGGCATGGCCTGGGGCCCCTGCTCAGCTCACCCTCCTCTCTCCCCTGCAGATGGCAGACTCCGGGGGGCTCCCCCAGGTCACACAGGTGAGACTCTTGATCCTCCCTCCTTTACCAGCCTGGGTTGGGGGAAAACTCCTTCCCCCAGAAAATACAGGCACCTGATCAAAGCATGTGCCTGTCCCTCCATCCTGCAGCCTGGGAAGCTGACTGAAGCCTTCAAATACTTCCTTCAAGGCATGGGTTACAGTGAGTACACCTCCCCGCAGCACCCCCTGGAGACTAGGGGGCAGCAGCCACATGGGGCTGGCACACTGTGTTGGGTGGTGCCCAGCAGCCTGTAGGCAGATGCACTCTGTGTCACCAGGGCCTGGGTGCTATGCCGCTTTTACCACGTGCTCCCTGATGACTGGGGGCCCTCTATGGCATCTCTGCCCAAAGTCTCCTGTGTTCTTCTGTGCTTTTGGGGAGGCTTTGAGATATTATCCCCATGGCTGTGGGGCGGCTGTACGGGCCCCCTGCCCTCCCTCTCCAAAATTCCTCTTGGGCAGGGATGCAACTCCCAGGCTGTGTTTGTGAGACACACACACGTCCCTCTGGTGGCCCACCTACATCTCCATCCCTCCCTTCTCCCCTACATACCTGGCTCTCCTGCTGGAAGCAAACTCCCTCTCCCTGAATTTATTTTTTCCTCCCCATTGTGCCTCCTTGGGAGGATGGGCCTGTGGGAGAAGGCTGGCAGCCAGCCAGGAGTAGAACTCCCTCCAGCCCCCAGGGGCCTGTCAGCCTCTCTATGGGGAAGTAGGACAAAGAGAGGGCAAGGCAGACAGTGAGACACAGAGCAACTCTGAGGCTAGGCCCCCAAGCATGGGGGCTCCCGGTGAGCACTGTGGGATGGGCAGGTGAGCAGCACTTTTCAGGGGCTGGGATGTGTGCTCTGGGCCCCTGGAGAAGTTCACCCAGGCAGCCTAAGAGCTGGGAGGGATTTGGGGGGTTGTGTAGGTCTCTGACATTCTGTACCTGAGAAGACTGAGGCCAAGCAGAGTGGCAAGGGCGCTGGGACCAAGATATAGGCCCCAAAGACCTTGTCAGTGAGCCCCTCGGCACCACAGCCCAGCCTGGAGAAGGTGGTATGAGATGAGTGCCCCCACCCTGCTGTCAGGGCTCCTGGGGCCAGACTGAGGCCAGCCCCTGCTGTGGATCCTCCTGGGGCTGCTGCCTGGGTGGGTGGGCAGGAATGGGCTTCCAGAGGCTCTCGCCATGCCCCCAGCCCTCCCTGTGCTTGTCCTTTCTTATCTCTGGCCCTTCTCAACACCCTTGCCTCACGGGACATGCTCTTCACCATGTTCTGTCTTCCCCCTACCCCCGCCCCTGGCTGTCTTCTCTCTTAGTTGCATACTTGAAGGACCGAAGGCTGAGTGGAGGAGCAGGTAGCCTGTGGCCCATCCCCTGGTGCATGCCCCCCACCCCAGTATACCCTGCTCCTTCCTCTGTGCAGTGCTGCAGCCAGGCCTCATCTTGCTATGGTTTGGAACTTTGTGTCCTGCTCGTCTCCAAAGCCCACAGGAGTTCTGCTTTTCCACAGATCCTGGGCCACATGCTACATGCCTCTGCCCATTTTAGGGCTGTAAATGGTCTGGGGTATAGAGCAGTCTTGCTTCTGGGTTGCCACAGGCTGTGTGGTTCTCAGAGCTCTGGTAGTTGGAACCAGAACCTCTCAGAGGTAAAGCCCAAACTGGATGGGTGGCCTGTTAAGTTCAGGAAGGTAGTTTGTCCTTGAGAATCTCGCTTGGGAAACTGGACAGAAACTGGAGTTAGGGCAGATTATGGCCCCCACACCTTTATTCTTCTTTCCAGAAGTGATCCTGCTCTCCCTGCCCCATCATTCTCTTGAGGGAGGCATAGTTGGAAGTACGTCCCATCCCTGCACCAACTCAGGGGTACCTGCATCTCCCACCCCATCCTGGCCATAGCTCTGGCCAGCTGTTGTGGGAAGGGTCGCGTCGGCCTCTAGGGGCCCCCGCCCCATGGGCTCACTTCGGCTCACTCACTTTGCTGGTGCTGCATGCCTCAGGCTTGGCAGAGAAGACGCCAGAGCCCTGGCTTGGGATGGGCCTCTGTGCCTTTGGAAGAATGGGTCTCTCTGGCTGCTTTGCTTGCGTGAATCCTCCTCCTGCGTGCTGGTGCCCAGCCCTGCCTGCCAGTCCTCACATCTGTCCTGTTTCTGTCCACAGTGCCCTCGGCCAGCATGACCCGTCTGGCACGTTCTCGTACCGCATCCCTCACCAGCGCCAGCTCAGTGGACGGCAGCCGCCCGCAGGCCTGCACCCACTCGGAGAGCAGTGAGGGGCTGGGCCAGGTCAACCACACCATGGAGGTGTCCTGTTGAAGCCCTTGGCCCCGCAAAGATGCAGCACCTGCCCTGCCGCATCAATGTCCCACCGCCATCCCTGCACCGGCTCACTCATTTTTCACATTATTTTACGTTTGTGAGGGTGAAGAGGACAACCTGGGGTTACTTCTCTTTTGTTTAGGAAGATGAAGGGAATCATCTTAGATGCTGTAGAATAGTCTCCAGATGGTTTGAGGTCCCATTTCTCCCCATCCCACCTCACTCACCTTATTAACTTGCTTAGACCCCTCTTCCAATCCCCACCAGCTCCCCAGTTTGGGCACAGGGCGAGGTACAGGGAGAAAGGAGATTAACTAAAGAAAGAGGCCAAATCCTCTGGCCAGGATAATACCCTGGATTAAAGAGCATGGGATGACCCCTTGGGCAGGCAGGTTTGAAGATGGGATGGGGCTTGAGCTGCTGGGTGCTGTGACCCAGGCACTGGCGTGAGAACCAGAAGACAGCAGCCCAGGAGCACTAAGAGGCAGGAGCCTTGGAGCTCCACAGGCCCCTTCCCTCCAGCCCCTCCACCCAGCACATCTGTTTCTTTCTGGCAGCAGGTGACAATCATCTGAACAGTAGCCACGGGGGCGCTCCTATCAGGCAGCCATTTTTCTGGTGCTTTCTGGGCGGTCCTGGTGTTCGCTCTGGGGTCAAGTAGGCAGGTGCTGAAGGGATTTTCTCTGCCCAAGGAAGACAAAACACAGAGGACCCTGAGGGCTGGAACCCCACAGACTGTCCCTTCCAGCTCACACACTCCATTATCTCCTGGCCCTGTCCCTTTTCTGAGCCAAGGCCTCAAGGCAGAAAGTCACCTGGCCTTTCATCTGCATAGGGACTTGACTTGGGGACAGAAGTTAAAGGCTGGGATAGCCCATGAGGGTTGCATGCACCCCTGAGAGCTTCACAGTGTCTGCCTTTGGGAGCCAGCATGTGGCCCGAGGCAGCAGCAGCTGAGAGTCCCAGTAGATCTCTTTTTTGCCCCTCAGTTGCATGGAGGACAACTGAAGTCAGCAGCAGTATGGGCAAGACCACCAGAAATGTGGTGCTTCTAGGGAGAGTTCTGGTGAAGCTATACCAACGATTCACACAGGCATCACTAAGTAAGAGAGTTTATTTGGAGAGAATTGGTCCACATAGCAAGAGTTCGTCAGTCCTGCATCACCATCTTAGCCTGTGGGAGTGGCTCAGGCTGGGCCTTGCTGGTCTTGGGGTGGGAGGTGAACGGTCCTGAAATGAACAAGGGCCAGACAGAAGAAAAAGGCTCCCACACACCCCAGCCCCTTCTAGCCAGCTGAAGCACAGGACTGCCATGTATTCCCCATCCACCCACCTTATTAGGTTGAGTCTCCTGGCCCAAAAACCAGAAGCCATTTGTCTCAGAGCCTAAGTCAATTGCCACAAATTCTGAAATGAGGGGAGAGCAATGAAAAATGCAAGGCTGTGGAGGGAGGTGTGTGTGGGTACTCTGAAGCTGAGGGGACACCTGGGTCCACATTTCCTCTGCACATAATACACACACACACCCTTCCAGAATCTTAAGTCATTGCTAGACTGCTCTAGTGCCTGGTGGAGTGTTAGCCTGTCCCCCATTCTATTCACTCACACACTCCCTTTGAATACCGAATGTAAACTGAAAAGCTGGTAGAATTAATCCCTCTTACTGTAGATAGCGCTGCTAATGTTTTGTTTTTGCTGTGTCCTTTCAGATGAGATATCTATAAATATCTATACATTATATATATATGTATATTGGGTCCTCCTGTGTGTGGTTTTCCATTGGAGGTTGCCTCTTTAGTCAAAGTGAACTTTTAATGGGTTTATTATTTTCCTCTGTACAAAGTGAAGAGCCTAATTTTGTGTATTCTGGTGATCATCATGAGACTTTGAGATGAGAAAATATAAAATAAAAACCCTTGTCAACATAGAGTTAATTGTGCTAAAAAATAAAGAACCCAGGAATTCGAATGGTGATGCCATGCCCATCATGGAAAGATTCTAAAGAGGCAGAATGTTTAGGCTGGCAAGGAAGGTGCTGGTTGGGTTCAGTGGGGTTGAATGTGACAACTCTTTCCATTGATGTCTGTATTTCCAGTTACTGTCACATATGTTATTTAGCAATCCTCACGTTAATTCCAGACAGTAGACAGTAATATCTTAGTTTCACAGTTGAGAAGACCAAGCCTTAGGACAGGATTTGTCCTAATAAGAGGCCAGTCTGGGAGCTGGCCTTGTACTGTAGCATCTATATGCGCAGCATGCTACTTCCCCATGTTTAACCACTCTTTCTGATTCATTTACTCAATCGAGTTCCTGCTGTCAGCTGATAGACAAAACCCCACCATGTGCTATGCAGAAAATGAAAAGCAGGGAGGTATGCAAGCGAGTGCGGGCAGAAGTCGATTCTAGTTATGGGAACCCTGCCCACACTACTCCAAAACGCGCGCGCGTGCAAACTGCTCTAATTAAGCCAAACCGTAAGATGACCGGAGATAACAAAGGGTAGAGATCGGGAAGGCGGCCCACCTGGGTGCGCTCACAGCCGGCCATCCGCAGCCGAGGACTTTATTCACTAGGATTTCTACCGAGAGGTCTCAGCTGTCAGACACCACAGGGGAGGGTTGTTCTGGCTCAGAACCAGGCTCGAGGCGGCCGGGGAACACGTCTACCTGTCACCCCACCGACCATTTTCCAAACCCAATTGGGAACACCGGACTCCAGAAAGTTCTCAGGAAGAACCGTTTGACCAATGCAACTCCCTACTCATCGTCCTCCTGGACGCAACCGAGCGTCACGTGGCCCCCGTGGCGGGGCGTGTACGTAGGCCCCGCCTCCAAGCGTCCCTCCTCGGGAGGCTGGAAGCGCCTGCGCGGCCACGCTGACTAGTAGGGTCGCGCGCCGGCCGACTATGGAGATCCACGCGAAGCGCCGGAGGGTAAGTCGCTGGTGGCGGGCGTGGGGTGGCAACACCTCGCCCACGTGCTTCGCCCCTACTCCGCCTGCAGGGGTCCCTCCGCTCCTCCCGAGGTCACTGGCGGCTCCACGCATCCCCTCCCCCACCCAAGCCCTGCCTCCGCGCGCGCCGCCGTCTCCTCGGGCTGCCCTGGGCAGGGCCTCGCCACGGTGCTCCTTGTCTCAGGTGGCTGGGCTTGTGGGCGGCGGCGACCCGGGTTCGGACCCAGTGGCCGGCTTCCTGAGTTGGTGCCGGCAGGTGGGGCTGGAGCTGAGTCCCAAGGTGAGTGGGGGACGGGCGCTGGGGTGGAAGTTGGCGCGGCGGGGGCGAGGGCGGCTGTGTGAGCCAGCTCTGACCGCCGCTCCTCCTGCCTAGGTGACGGTGAGCCGGCAGGGCACCGTGGCCGGCTACGGCATGGTGGCTCGAGAGGATGTGCAGCCCGGAGAGCTACTGTTCGCGGTGCCGCGGGCCGCGCTCTTGTCGCAGCACACCTGCTCAGTCGGCGGCCTGCTGGAGCGAGGTGGGCACGGCGCGGGACGCGAGGTGGGCGCGCCGCAGGGCCGGCTAGGCCGGGCGCCGGGCGCTCACCTCAGGGTCTCCGTCAGAGCAAGGGGCGCTGCAGAGCGAGTCAGGTTGGGTGCCGCTGCTGCTGGCGCTGCTCCACGAGCTTCAGGACCCGGCTTCACACTGGAGGCCCTACTTTGCGCTCTGGCCCGAGCTAGGCCGCTTGGAGCACCCCATGTTCTGGTGAGTGCCATTGTGAGGGGCGGCAGCGCTGTAGCACCATAGCCCGGCCAGGGCTGCTCTGCCCAAGCACGGGGAACCCAAGCCCTAGTCCCGACACGGCCTGTGAAGGGAACTGGGTGGGGGAATGTCACTGCAGGCCAGAGGAGCAGCGCCATCGATTGTTGCGGGGCACAGGCGTACCTGAGGCGGTGGAGAAAGATTTGGCCAACATCAACAAGGAGTACTGTTCCATCGTGCTGCCCTTCATGGAAGCCCACCCCGATCTTTACAGCCCTAGGGTTCACTCCCTGGAACTCTACCACCAGCTGGTGGCTGTTGTGATGGCCTACAGGTCAGTGAGCAAGACCTTAAAGAACCCTCTTCTTTAGAACTGTTGAGGGACAAGAGGGTAAGGAACGGTGAATCCCATCCCCTCTCACTCTACAGTGGGCTTTAGCCAAGTTCTTTCTCTGGCAGTTTTCAGGAACCACTGGAGGAAGATGATGATGAAAAGGAGCCAAACTGCCCTTTGATGGTGCCTGCTGCAGACATACTAAACCACTTAGCCAATCACAATGCCAATCTAGAATACTGTACAGTGAGTTGGTCTTTCCCAGTTCTTGTTCTTATGTGCATTGAGGATTGGGTGTTTAATTCAGTCTGTTATTTTTGCTGACCGGGCAATTTGACTAAATGGGCTCCATGAGTTAGTGAAGTTAGCTCCTCCTGTAGGTACTTTGCATATTCATTAGTTTGAGTAAAGTTAGGGTTAATTTCTGATAAACTACATTATTTATTTGGTGCTAGAGGTTGGTAACTGTGCAGTGCCAGAAAGCTTAGACTGTCAGGCCCCTACAGACAGCAGCCTAGAGCAGCTATACTGTCAACACTTCTTGAGAAGGGGTAGATGGGATGTTCGTAAGTCTAAGATAATATTAGTACTGTTTATGTCAGTTCTATTTTCTATGTAAAAAGATCCAAGTTTATGGAATGAAAACCAGGAAATGGCTGTTTTTAAATTCTTGCCTTCATTTGCCATTCCTACTTTGATCTGGGTCTGTTCATTTTTAGAAGCTAGCAACTTTTTCAGTGCTGAAGATGCTTGAGCCAAGTAATTCGCCTAATGAAGCACTGAGCCTAACCTTTGATCTTTGCAAATCTCATCCCTTTCATTTCACAGTACATGCAGGATCTTAACAGAACTTGAAGGTAGAATGTTGATAGGTGTAGCATCAGTACCATCATCACTGAACTTAACCTGCTGGATGGTCTTCCTAAGAAAGAAGTCATCTTCATGGGCCTGGCCCCCGCTTCTTTCTCCTTTTCACCACAGGATTGTCTTCGGATGGTGGCCACTCAACCCATTCCTAAAGGCCATGAGATTTTCAACACTTACGGGCAGATGGCTAATTGGCAACTACTTCATATGTATGGTTTTGTTGAACCATATCCTGACAACACAGATGACACAGCTGACATTCAGATGGTGACAGTTCGTGAAGCAGCATTACAACGTGAGTGTTTGATTAACTCTCACCTTGGACACTGCTGTGTATGTCTGTCCCTGCACAGCAGTCCCCCATTTTTTATAGATAATGAGAAATGGGCTTTTGGGAGTATAGAGACTTTCATGCTATTACTTTCCTATCTACCATACAGGAACAAAAGTTGAAGCTGAAAGGCTCCGCCTGTTTGAACGCTGGGATTTTTTATGCAAACTGGAGATGGTAGGGGAAGAGGGAGCCTTTGTGATTGGGTGGGAGGAGGTGCTGACTGAAGAGGAACTGACTACCACCCTCAAGGTAAAGGGCTGAGAATGTCCATTTAATGCTAAGAATAAAGCTAGAAGAGGGGACACTTAAATACTGACAAGAAAGGCTAGCTTCTCTAAATCAAATTTCAGAAATGCAAGTAGTACATCCTAATTAAAGAGCCCATGGTTGCTTTTAGGTACTGTGCATGCCCGCTGAGGAGTTTAGAGAGTTTAAAGACCAGAATGGATGGGGAGATAATAAAAGGGAAGAGGAAAGCCTGACCATCACGAGTATCCCCAAGCTCACAGCATCATGGAGACAACTGCTTCGGGACAGTGTTTTGTTGACCCTGCAAACCTACACCACAGACTTAAAATCTGAACAAGAATTACTCAGTAATAAGGAAGTCTATGCCCAACTCAGCTGGAGGGAACAGCAGGCCTTACAAGTTCGTTATGGTCAGAAGATGATCTTACACCAATTGTTGAAACTAACAAGCTAGCAAGTTCCCTGAAGGAACATCCATGAGAACTTTATTCCAGGCTAATGTTCACTGATGGGTTGAAATGAAAGAAAACTTGGATTTTTTGTTTTGCTTACCATATTAAATACCAAAAGGAAAAGTAGCAAAGGTGGTGTGCTAGGATTAACTCAGAGGTAAGGATGGTTTGTTTAGAAGCACTGGGAGCACTTGGGAGTAACTGCTAATTGTTAACTAAGACCAATAAATTTTATAGCCCTATTCTCAGTTTGAACCAAAGTTTGTAGAAATGTGGTAGTAATGGTTCTTGTCATCTAGTGTTTAGTAACATGAACTTTGAAAAATCTTTGGGCAAGTCACTTTACTTTTTCTTAAAAACTGTTTCCTCTGTTAAGTAACTGGTATTCAGAATAACTGTTAAATTCCTTAGCATTCTGAAATTTGGTCTAGAAGGCACAACTCACCCTTTAGGAAAGAAACCCTGAGAGAGTCACAGCCCATCCCTGTTAAGATTTCTGTTATTTAATCTTCACGATTTTTGTCTTCTCTGGCTGTAAAACTTATTAAAGGTAAGGTGTAAGTCACATATAAACCTACTCCCTTTGAAAATTAAAACACTGTGAGGGTAAAGGCTATGAAAAAAAATGAGCATTTTGTGATTGTTTAACCTGCTCCAATGAATTTCCACTGTTGAAAGGAACAAAAAAACACTATACAAAAATCATGTCCTTGCTTATTTCAACATGCCAGATTAGAAATGGGGAAGATCTACCATTCAGCAAGAAGTTAGTTAGTGTTTCCCAATGGCGCTAGGCACAAGGCTGGGCTTGTCCACTTTTCCTCCTCACCACCAGCACTGGCTGCTGCTACTGAGAAAGGCACAGTGGACTCCAGTGTGTGTCATGACTTTAATGTTTGACTACAGTATGCATACACATACAAGAAGTAAGGGAGCTAAAGCCCAGGAACTAGAAAGGCTACAAAATACAACACGTGGACCAATACATTTACAAAACATTCAAAATCCTTACAAAAGGGGCTGTATTGGTCCTTTCAACTTTTTTGTTGGTCAGCTTAGCCTTTATGGCCATTCACTGGGATGATGGGAGGTAATTCATACTTTTTGGTTCCCTTTTTCCCACAAGTATCAGGAGAGACTGGGGGAAGGATGGGTTAAGTCTGGTCTGGTTTCCCTTTGTAAAAAAACAACAAAAAAAGCTGACTGCATCTCATAGGGCCCAAGGGTGGGTTTTCCATCAGAAATGAAAATGATGCTCTCCCAGCAGTCAGCTTTAGACTGGGGAAAGAGGCAAAACAAAAACCGTTAATTGTGGGCTCTCAATTGTGAGCTCTTCCCATGTTCCCTGGTACCAAATTCTAGCATATCCACATCTTTAACAACTTTGTGACTTTCAAGGTCCCCTGTCCACAATAAAAAAATAAGTTACATAATATTTAAACTGGCTTTCTTGTTATTTGGGGCACCAGGAATGTCAGAAGACATGGAACTATGCCCCCAGACAAATGTATGTTATCAGCAGCCTCTTCAGTTACAAGCTGGGCAGGTACCAGTTTATCTGCTTGCCTTCGACACATTTTGCACAAACCCAAGAAGTTCCAGACAAAGGTTTTCTCTTTCATATATTTACACAAGTTCAAAATGATATTCACAGCATCTTCTAAATTTTGGCCAAGAGTCAAAAAATGCATTTAAACTTTGGAACGTGCCCACACAGGAAGCTGACCCAAACATTAACTGGGTCGGATACCCAAGAACCAAAGGGCTGGGAAAGTCAGGAACAGCTGAAAGGATTCTTCAGCCAGTTTATGAACTTGGTACGGTGTGGGACCTCCAGGCTGACACATTTACAACAGAGATGCAGTTCCATCTAACTGGCACCTGTCCCTTCCATTACTTGCTGAGCCTGCTTCTGTCCCATGCAGCACTGTGCAACCGACTGGAATAACCTGAAGAATGGAGAGAGTTACAAGTTTGTGAGAAAAGTTCAGGCCTGACAATACCTGGGTGTCTCATAAGCTTTTGGCCACTACTGCTTTTGTAATCACACACAGTACCTGGAGCCATCAAATGATTCTCATTCTTACACAATGAAAAAATTACTTTTAACTCACTTTTCAATTTCTGGGGCACAGTGTACAAACTCATGGTTCCAGAACTTAAACGCTGGATTTTTAATCAATTCAATGAAGGTAATAAGAAGACCCCAAGGATGTGGCCTATTTACAATCAACCGTTCCAAGAGAACCCTGGAAAAGGGGAGAACATGTTACTGCACAGGGAAAACATACAAAATCATGACTACTTCTCCAGTACCTTTTTTACTAACTCTGCTCCCTGGTTACTAAACTACATGCAAAAACTGTTAGCTTTACTAGAGAAAGGTAAATTATTCTATATATTCTATATGACATGATTAGTGCAGTTGTACTCTGGAATTAGAAAATATGGTTTGAATCCTTCCTCTTACTACTGAGCCTCGAAGATTTCAGGTAAAGTAAGGATAACGGTTCAGATTACACAGCACACACAAGGAAGTTGGAAATGAGTTCTAATACCATAGTACATGTACAAACTGGTATAATTTTTCTACATGGCAATATTGGCTTTAAGTATTTGTAACCTTTGATCTAACCAACTATACTTCTAAATTTACCTTAAGGAAATAATAAAAAGATTTAACTACAAAGAAGTTCACTACCTTTGTATACAATCACAAAGCAGGGCTTGAACAGAACCCAAGAATGGACTAACAGTTACCCAAGGGAAAGGGACTGGGGAGGATGGGATAAGGGGGAAAAGGGGGCATTACAATTAGCGCACACAATGGGGGTGGGGCGGTGGCATGGGGAAGGCAGTATAACAGAAGACAAGTAGTGATTCTACAGCATCTTACTACACTGATGGATAGTGACAGTAATGGGGTATGTAGTGGGGACTTGATAAGGGGGGGAGTCTAGTAACCATAACGTTACTCATGTAATTGTACATTAATGATACCAAAATAAATAGCATATCACCTAAACATTAATAAAATATTAATTTTTGACATAAATCTAAGAAGTACTGTATCTAATACCCAGAATCTATTAGGTGAAGAGGCTAGTTTAAAAAGTCTACCCCAGTTTTTAAAGTATATATCTCCCTCACTAGAACCTATCCATTCCCCTGATCTCTAGTGCTGTGCTTGGCCCAAGCAATCTGCAACAGATTCCTAATAATTGTTAGGAAAACAGTATGATCCTGTGATTTTTCTTGCTTGAAACCTTTTAGCCCAAGAGCAACATGCCCTTAACTGGCCTGTATGACTCAGAACTCCAGTTGAAAGTGCCAGCACTTTTTGTTGAAAACTACTTTTTGTTTCAGCAGTGATTATGATTTTAATTTACTTATGATATTCTTGTGTCCATCAGATTAATTAGGAGGGCAGAAACCATATCCATTTTGTTCACAACTATATCCCACATTTAACAGATGCAAAAAGATGTTTGCAGCAAGTTTAAAGGATGTTCAATGAACACTGAATGCACAAGAAAAAAACACCCACAATTCCTAACAAAGTGGAAGGGGCATTTTAGAAGCACCTGAAAAACAAACCTCTCTTACCTTGTGATCTGTTCTTGGATAGCTTCAGTGTTGGCCTCTGCAAAAAGATATAGCATGGTGCAGCTGAAGTAGTGAGTGTGGCTATTTGGATACCGCAGCTGATTTGCAATTGCATTCAAGAACAGATACCGACCTAGAAATAAAACTCAACTTAGTATTAAGGACTTGCTCTGAAAGCCCAACATGAGACAAATCATTCTGTGGCTAGCATTTAGATTACTGATACAGGCTTTATAATTATCCCCTTGGTTCTCAAGTCTCCAAAGTTCTCATTTCTGCAGGGTTCAATTTCATACTTTCCATATTAAATTTTAATATTTTAAATATTTACTTAAAAACAGACCACTACATATGAACACACATTAATATTTTCCCAAAAATATTTAATGGAAAGTGTCACTGTTTTACACTTCACAGATCTCTTTAAATGTTACTGAACAGGAGATAGCTGGATTTTCTCCTGCCTGTGTTCAACCTGTTCTGGTATTACATTTCATGCAGTGCTGGCCCAGCCTTTCTAAAAAGGGTCTTGGGGACACCCCCAACAGTTTTGAGACCATACTTCAAGAACCACTAAGTTTAGACTACAGGTGACTCTTGAATAATGTGCCACACCCCACCCTGCCACAGGTGTGGTGTCAGAGGCACTGGCCCCTGTGCATCACTTTTGGCTCCCCCAAAAATAGCTTACTATTGGAGTAACACCTATTTTGTATATGTATATACTGTATTCTTACAATAAAGGAAGGTGGAAAATACATTTTTTCAACTTGTCACAAATTTCCGAAAGATTTTCCAATGTCTTTATTGAAAAAAATCTGTGTATAAAAATGGACCCATGCAGTTCAAGCCCATAGTGTTCAAGGGTCAACTTTATACTATATGTTATCTTAACTACTACCACACTGAGCTTTAACAGTTCCCTAAGTGCTACACATGCTTTTTTGCCAGGTTTTTTGTTAAATCTTCATTTTAGGCTATCTCAAATCCCTTCTACAAACAGGCATGGGGGGGAAGAAGAGGGGAGGGAAGACAGACATGTATACTCAAAATAACTAGCCTCTCAGGTAACTATAGCAAAGTTTAAAGTAGGCATCCTTCTAAACTGTATGTGTGCTAATAAGCAGGACTCTATAACTGGTGTGCACCTACTGGGGTCTCTATTATGTAAAAATGAATACAGGACACCAAAAGAAATGTAGTTCAACTAGGCAAGACACAACCTATTATTATTTATACTGTAAACTTTTTTTGGAGCAGGTAGAGAAACTCCTATTCATTCATCTTTACTTAGTTTCTAATATGGTGCCTGGCAAATAGGCACCAATAAATTCTGGGGGGTGGAAGACATGCTGACAAAATGCAACAGCTTAGAGAGACCAGTAGAAGAAACATGTTTATTTTCATATTAAAAAATACTGCAGTATCACATACTGAAATAGTAACTGATGTGGTAAGGATTCTGGATGATTCTTTTATTTTCTGCATTAATCAAATATTACCCAATTATAGAAAAAAGATACCCAATGATACAATATACAGCCAGACCCATAAATATTAAAAGAATATTCTTTCTTTATTGAGGCTTCAAGTATTTTAAGGACCAAGTTATGGCAAAAAAGTGGAGAGAACCTGACTCGGAGAACTGGCTGGCTTTACATACCTTCAGTGTCCAAGTCCACAGCCAGGTTCTGGAAGATGTCCATGTGAGCCGAATGGGTGATCGTGCTCATTGAAGGTGTGCTGCCCTTGTTGTGGATGTGTGCGATGGCCTGAGTCCCTACATAGAGCACCAGTGCATTGATGAGCTGGAGGTTATAGCGATTGCCAGGCTCGTTAGAGACCTAAACGAATAAAACATAAAGCTCCTGACTTACTGAGAGAACTGATTTAGGCACCAATATTTCCAACACCTTTTTATGCCTTCATAGAAAAGCTGAACTGCTCTCAAAATTCTTCTTAATTTAAATTTTAGAAATTTGCTGTATCTGAGGTTATTTCACAAATACACAACTGCCTAAGGGTGGATGTGTCAACAACAGGAACACAATTTCCTTTAGGATGTCAAAGATTTAATAGCATCAGCACAAAAGTAGAACTTCTGAAAAGTCAAAATTTGTACTGTCTTAATTATATAGAAGATTTGGAAAAGGCTGTGTGGTTCCTTGGGTGGAAAAGTAATACAACTTCAAGTCATTTACTATACACCAAATTAAACCAGAATCTTACTCATTTACAATAATCCTGGGAGAACTGACAGAGAATGATTATCAGCAGTCTATTACAGAAAATCATCCCATTTACTGATGACCTCTTCCAAGACTATAGCTTGTTGTCACTAGTAAAATGTGTAATCCAGTCCATCTCATCCAACCATCAGAAATGACAATGTGTTTTAAAATCTTTAAATCAGGTTGAAAAGACTCAAGTTCTAAGCAGGCCCTGCACAAAGTGCTTTCTAGGAGAGGCACAGCTGAGAATTTAAGCAAACCTGTAAGTTGCTGCGCAGATCAGACAGAAAAGTAACTGGTGACCGAGTTTTAAGATAGGAATCCAAATCCTTTTTGAACTGAGGTGGCATCACTCCAGTAAAATTGGTGAGGATACGGGGTGCAATGTTTATTTCACTCAACATATCCACCTGCCAAAAACAAATACAAGAATCACAACCAGAAGCTTTTGTAGGACTTAAGAGTAAATTATATCTATGCTAGGAAAGTGGTAGGATTGTTTTTCCAAAACTACAGACATAAATGTCTTGAGGAGTAGAGCTGCTACTTTTTACTAATCAATCTTTAGAAAAATCTATATGCAAAATGATAGGAATCCCTTATTCTGTCATATACAATCTTTCTAAACTAAGGATAGGTACCTTTAGAGAAGAGGTCTAGTTTGTCCCAGTAATCATTTTTTTCCAGGGCTTCTTTCAGAAAAAAAAACAGTACAAAATGAGATTTCTCACTCACCAGGGGCCCTAGCCTTTGAAAAGTTGCCCAGCAGAACAAAACATCATACTTGCTATTTTTTTTTAAATACATGTGAAAAGAAAAAATACAAAATATGTAAAAATTACAGTAGCCATGTCAGGGTGATGTGATTTTAAGTGGTCCCTTGTCATTCACTTTGACAGTTTAAACAGCACAAGCACACATTACAAAACACCTGTGAAAAAAGGGCATTACAAAGCTGTGCTTATTGTGCAATTTTCTGACATGGGGGCCACCCAACAAAATGGCCCAATACCTAGGTTGAGCTTCTGTAAATACAGCTAAATTTAATACCAAAATTAACCGAAAACAGCAACTTGAATACTGTAAACCAAAATTCAGAAGTAATTATCATACCCTACATTATCAGGCTTAATAACATGATTGCTTCCCCCAAAGAGCACTCTTACCTAAAAAAAAAACATGTATGTGTGTATGCTGGGGAGAAGGGGGTTAAATAGCCCACTTGCCAGAGAAAGGACTGAAATATTAAAACACGACTTTCTTTTCCTTGAACTGTTCCAAATCTTACCTTCAGATTAGGAGTGAATGGGTCTGGGAGCCTCATGTTTCTTGGGAAGGCACTCAGGATCAGATTTCTTAGCTGGATACAATTAGGTGGGATCACATCACAGAATCCATAATGGTAATCACAAAGGAACTCAGGGAAATCATGCAAAAGAACCAGCAGCACTCTTAGAGTACCCTATTTTTAAAAGAAGAAAAACACTGGCTGTTTCCACACTAAGAAAACAGGAGTAACATTTTTGCTATTATGAATTCAACTCAAGTAAAAAAGGCAAAAATGTACTTCAATAACAAACTTACAGGTTTTAGTCAACATTAACAATATCACAAGTGATTTATCAAAATATTTAGATCTAGAAACCATGAAAAACTAGGCATCAGGAATAGACAGCCTTAAATGCATATGCTAGAAAAGGCAGGACAAAACAAAAAACAAAAGTGATGCAAGCTGCTATCTTCAGACATTGGAAAAAGAACAGCTAGTGAAAACCAAAGTAGAAGAAAAAGAGCAGATTAAACCTTTTTAAAAGTGGGGGGAGGGAGGCACAAACAAACCTATATTAATCTTTGAAAAGATTAATAAAATCCATAAACCCTACCAAGACTGATGGAGGAAATACAATACCATCAGGAATGAAAAAGGAATTATCATTACACATCCTACACACATGCTAAATATTTAATATTAAACAATTTTATGCTAAATAATGTGACAATTCAGATAAAGTACACAAACCACTTGAAAAATACAAATTACCAAAACCAAACAAAAAAGGAAAATTCGAATAGTCCTTTATTATAAGTTAAATATGTTGATAAAATCCTTCCCACAAAAAGGGAACCCTCCAACATTGTTGGTGGGAATGTAAATTGGTGCAACCATTGCACAAATCCAAGTATTGAGGTTCCTCAAAAAACTAAAAATACCATACAACCCAGTAATATGAATTCTAGAAATTTATCCAAATAAAATAAAAGCCCTGATTCAAAAAGATATATGCACCCCTGTGCTACTGCCACATTATTTACAACAGCCAAGATATGGAAGCAACCAGTGTCCATCAGTAGATGAATGGATAAAGACAAGTTGGTACATATACACTGTGGATTATTCAGCCATAAGAAAGAAAGAAATCCTGCCATTTGCAACAACATGGATGGACCTAGAGGGTATTATACTAAGTGAAATAAGCCTGGCAGAGAAAGACAAATTCCATATAAATTCACTTATTTGTGGAATATAAAAATAAAACAGGTGCTCCTTCTCTTTGAGGTCGCTCACACTTTCTAAGTGTGTAACCTTTTAATCTTAAACTCTTTCTCTCCAACCTTTCAGGGTGCTCCTATCTCTCTGAGGTCGCCTGCACTTCTTTCTAAGCAACTTTAAATAAAATTTTTACTCTGCTTCACTACTGTGTCTCTGCCCTTCAATTCTGTCGCAGTGGGGACAAGAACCGAGTAAAATACACAACGCATCTCCCCCAACATATTTGGTGCCGTGCCTCAGATGGATTTCCATCCCTGTTAAGCCAAACCGACCTCTCCCACCAGCATATTTGGTGCTGTGCAACTCACATGGATTTCCAACCCCCGGTAAGCCACATGTGTCTCACCCCTTGGCTGGAGGCACTCACATTCACTCACTCACTATCTACCTCTTCTCTGGGAATCCTTCCCTTCCTTCTCTTTCTCTTGAGGACCAAAAACAGCTGCACTACGGGCATGAGTCAAGCAATAAAGGCCCCAGGGTGCTCGCCAAAAGACTCCCATGACAGGATAAGTTGGTCGTGGACTGGTGAAGATTGCACAAATTACATTAGGCACCCTGCCGCCTGCAAGACAATGTCCACACAACGGAGGCACACTGTAAAAGCACCCATTTCCAATCTTGCAGCAAGTCCCCATGCAAGGTTCAGTATGTCCACAGAGAGACTTTCTTTTCTGTGTTCTCAGATTTCTCCTACTCGCTGCATTTTTTTCCTTCCCTTCTCCAAGCTTTTTGTATTATCGCCTGGTCAGCTAACTGGGGCAAACCCCAAAGGACCCCTATCTCATGATATCCTTGGTCATAAGATGTCCACCAAACCCAGCTGGAGGCAGTACCCACTTGTGCTTGCCTTGCGGGGATCCCCTCCCTAGGAGGCAGGTCATGATTGGGTCCTAGGGAATGTCACCCAGAGCAACCAGATTCCTCCCTTTACTCTCTTCTTCAACAGCTCCTTGCAAGAGCTAAGAGACTTCCCACTTGCCTCTATTCTATGACCCTTGTCCCTTTTGTACTAAGTTCTTTCTGTCATCATGTCTGTTCTATTTTCCATTTAGAGGGAAAAAGACTTTTACTCTGATGGGATCTGCAGGTCTCACCTAACTCTGACCTCCCATTTAGGATTCACCTCTGGCCTAGCCTGCAGCCTGCAGGAGAGCCACAACCTAGGGCCAAAATCTCTTTCTCAGCACAGCAGGTTTTTTCCCCTCACAGCTGCCTGCCTCAGGCTGGAGATGATCTTTCCTAACCAGTTTGGTAGCCTCCCCAGGGATCTTGACCTCCTAAGGTCCCCTGAGGAGGCTCTCAGATCTCTGGGAGGCTGGCCTGGCCATAACACTTCTTTATGCCTTTTGCTGACCCTAAAAGCTCAGTTAAACACTGCTGCTCTTCCTTTCTTCCACCCTTACCCTGGCAGCACCTGTAATTACTACTAAAACCTTAACCACTAAAGACTCAGCAAATATAAAGAACAAAGTTTTCTTGAAGATCTCTACCCTACAATCCTATTCTCCCATTTTCTCTGCCCTTGCACTTCATTCACTGTTCTCCTCTCATAAGCCTTTCCCCTCACCTGCTTATTACAAGTCAGCTTTCTAGCTATTTGCCTAGCTTGGTTGAGCCTCCTTCAGGCTCCCATACGACCTTGACCTTGTTGTCAGCCTTTGTCAACACCCCCCACCTGTAGTAAGCCTCCTTTAACCCTTCGCTAGGAAGCCATGAGACTCTAGTCTTCCATATCCATATCCCACTTGGAGAAGTCTGAGGCGGGATGCCTTGTAATAATAGACGTCTGACTTATAATAATAGGTCCTGGGCAGCCGGCTGTGCCAAGACCTCTGGGATAGACCCTAGGACGTTGGGCTCTCTAACCCATTCCTCATGACTACAGTCTTCTGTCCTGCTCTCGGAGACCTACAGGACAGGAAGAGTTAAATTTCCTTTCTTCCTAGATGAGCCACACTGTCAGGCTGCGTTCTCTTCCACTGATCCCAATTCAACCCTGAGACTCTCAAACTGTAAGTGGGTGGGCAGTTGAACAGAGGTCCCTTACATTCAGGCTTGCTTCTCTCTCAGAAGCCAGAAAGAACTCTGCCAAGCTTGCAAACTTGATACAGTCCTCTCCTTACTCCTCTCCCTACTTTACTTATGACCCAATGTCAGCTTACAACTAAACTTAGCTGAGCAAAAGAGTTAATTAAAGAGGCTTGTAAGTCTACTAGTAGCCTTCACTTGTATGATACTAAGTTTCCCGTTAGAAAGACTGCTGTTTCCTCAGTAGATCCTAACTGAAGTTATAATGACGAAGACGGTCTGCAGAAAAAAACCTCTTCTCATGTGCATAAAGACAGGCCTCAAGAATGCTAGTGTAACAGTTTACAACAGCTTACTCTTGTGCTTAATGTCTCAGTAATATGTTTGCTTACTCAAGAAGACAAAATCTTAATATTAAAAGAGCTAAGTTCTGCTAAAAACTTATGTGACCTTCTGTATCTGCCTTTAAAATCCTTTATTGTCACTGGTTAAATGAGTAACTAAATATTGTTTCTTAATGACTTATAATGTTATTTTAAGCAACTGCCTTAAAAACTTTAAATAACCAAATTTTGTCAACTATGTTATCCATAGCCACTTCTAAATCTTTTATCATTTATAATTGCTGTTTTATTCCAAAACAAGTAAAAAACCTAGATTCAAGCAAAGCAATAATTAATTACCTAATACTGAGTAAACTAAACAGGGTAATTTTAATTTTCATGACATTTTGTTTCAAATGTTGCTAATCTCTTAAACAGAAAAAGGGTGTTTTAAACTTTTTCTTAATCTAGCTTATAAGAGTTTAGTAAACTATACTTTTAAAGCAGAATTGAAGCATTTTTTTCTATCTGTTCCCTCCAGAATTTAGAAACTCTCAGTAACTATTTTCATATTTTATGGCAATATTATTATTTGCATAAGTTCAATAAGAATCTCCTCTCCTTGTAAGAGAAAACAATTGAAAACACTAGTTATTACCAAAGCTTTGACTGGAATCTCATATTTGAGACACATGCATAGACTCAGATATGACCAGAAAACTTTAAGGAACTAAGATTGACTTTATGGAGCCAACAAATCCCCTTGAAGAACTGGCCTGGTACCTTGCTTTCAGGGTTCCCAGCAGCCTTACCAGGTGAATAAGGAAGGTCACTTCCTGGCAGGTGCAGGAACCTCAAAATATCTTGGGAACTTTGGGAAGAGAGAAATTCACCCAAATCTACAGGTACTGCAGGCAAAACCTGATGGCAAGTCTGGCTTGGGCTCCTGGCCTCGAGAGGCCTTTAAAAGCTCAATCTGAAATTCCTTGTGAAAAGTTCCAACAAAGCACATTTAGAAGATCCTATGTGATCAATTTCTCGTTGCTGCACTTATGCAAACAATTAAGCCAAGTGTTCTAAAGCTAAACTTATTTTAATATGGGTACCGCTAATAAAAATGAGGGTAACTGTAGAGAGAAAAGGATTGCTTCAATAATGCAGCTTTATCTGTACTAGATTCTAATACTAGTCATTGTGAAATCAACTAAATCCTAAATTCTAGTTTCCTCAAACAGCTATGACACTCCAAATGTTCCCAGTTTTCTCCCATCTCAATCTTACTATTCCCAATCCTCATATTTAACCATGCATTCTTAATCTCCTTGTCAAGTTTGTTCTTCCAGAATGCAAAATCCAACTCCAGAGGTTGCTCAGACAAGGATTTCAACCTCTGTCTCTGACAAGCAGTGAGTGAAGAAACTAGCTGATCAAGTCCCTCATTCATTAGAGGCTTTCAGAATCATAAGGTGTTCAGTTCCACTTTTCCCATCAGAGGACATGCCTCTCTATAGCACAGGGATTCAAGTTGTTATCAAAGTTTGGAAAGATGGGTCACCC